CATGATTTTATAGACCTCTATCATATCCGTCCTTAGTTGTCTCTTTTCTAAGATGACCAGTTCCAGTCTTTTTAATCTCTCCTCATATGGGAGCTGTTCCATACCCCTAATCATTTTTGTTGCCTTTATCTGTACCTTATCTAATCCTAATATCTCTCCTTTGAAATGGTGTGACCAGAAAGGTATGAAGTATTCAAGGTGTAGGCATACCATGGATTTATATAATGGCATCATCATATTTTCTGCCTTATTATCTATTCCTTTCCTAATGGTTCCTAACATTCTGTTGGCTTGTGCCGCTGTACATTGAGCAGATGTTTTCAGAGAACTATCCGGGTTGACTCCAAGCTCTCTTGAGTGGTAACAGCTAAATTAGAATCCATCATTTTGTGTGTACAGTTGGGATTATATTTTTCACTTTGAACTTTATTTTTATATTTATTTATATATATATATTTATATATATATTTATTTTAATATTTATTATATTTTTCACTTTGCACACATTACTTTGCACTTATCAACAATGAATTTCATCTGCCATTTAGACATGTTTTGAAGTATTTAACACGTTGCCCTCTTTGGGCCAAATGCAAAGCCCACTGAAATCTATGGAAAAATCTCATTCACATCATTGGAATTTGTATTAGGCCCATAGAGTCTTTCATCAAAGATTGGAAGTCAGAAAGACTAAATAAAGCATTACAGATTACATCACTCAGAGGGGTGCAAAACGGGCTTCTCACATTGACATAGCTACCTCTCAGAGAGGTGGAGTACCTACACTGACGGATGAAGCTCTCCCATCGGCATAGGTAGCGTCTTCACTAAGCACTATGGTGGCACAGCTGCATTGGTACAACTGCAGCACTGTGAGTGTAGACAAGCCCTAAGACACACAACTTCCTTGCACAGCAGAGGAGAACTTTATTTGACAACTTTACAGAACGGGAAAACAGACAGACACAGAAGAGTGAAAAGAACAAGGCGTACTTGTGGCACCTTAGAAGCTAACAAATTTATTTAAGCATAAGCTTTTGTGGGCTAAAACCCACTTCATCAGATGTAAGGTGCCACAAGTACTCCTCGTTCTTTTTGCTGATACAGACTAACATGGCTACCACTCTGAGAAGAGTGACATGACTTGACAGAAACTAATGTAATTTAGCAAGTTACTACTTAGATATTTGGAATGCTGATTTGAGTGCCCAAATATGGAAGGCGTTGCCTTAATTTAGGCACCCCAATTTAGAAAGCTCCACCCACAGATGACACTAAAGATATGTCTACACTTTTGAGTTGGCGATATGAGTCCCAGTTTGGGAGACATACCCACAGTAGCGCTCACTGAGCTAGCATGCTAAAAATAGATGGTAGCCATGACTGGAGGAGCTAGCCACCCCATGTACATACCCGTCCAAGGCACCAGGCACATACTTAAGGCACCGAGCACCACCGACCTCTTGCGCTACTGCGGCTACACTATGTGTAGTATGCTAGTTCAGACAGAGTTAGCAAGGATATGTCTTCTCAAGCTGGGAATTACATCCCCAGTTTGATGTGTTAGACATATCCTAAGCCAGGTTTAGCCAAACCTGGGTGGCGTTGCGACCCCATATGCCAGGTTGCAACACTCAGAGTCGGGAGTCAGAACCCCATAGGTTCTGCTGCTGCAAGGAGAGTACAGGCTCGCTCTCCAACACCTCCCTCATCCAGAGCCTTCCCTCCACACCAAGCCAAGATCAGGGTTGTGGTATGAGGGCAGAGGGTGCTGCTGCAGGTGGTCAGTGCCCCCTCAGCAGGGAGAGGAGAAGGAGGTGGCAGTGACAGAGGAGAAGGATCCTTGCCTATGATTTTGCCTCTTGCCTCCTTCTCTTCGCCCCCTCCCCTCCCCCATGATTTTGGATTCTGGATGGATCATGCAAAAGAAAAAATGCACCTGATAGGTCCCCTTAGTAAAAAGTTTGGGAACCACTGTCCTAAGATGAGGTCATCAGGTTGCTCTGTAGAGAGATTCTCTCCTAAAATGTCTTATTAAATGTTATTAAAAGTGCCAAATGTATTCATTCTTGGATTAAATTCAACATGCCTTTCCTCAGCAAAAAGACAGTTTTCTTGAAAGCAGTTATGAATTTTTGTGATTTATTCATTAAAAATAAAAACATTTTAAAGGACAAATTCTCAAGAAACCCACTTTATGGAGCCACCTGCACATATGTTAAAGCCATCTATAATAGTCAGTTTAGATTAAGCAAAACATTTAAGGTCTGCTTCTTTCAAGGGATCTGGGTTAATTCTCTTGTGTTGGCTGATCTTAACAAACTGACTATTCCTTAGTGAAAGCCCTAACTATATGTATATGCACAATGGACACATGCAAAAGTGAAAAGAGATGTTTGTCACAGAGAAGTAATCTATGCTTTGTGGCAGCAGCTCCCCCTCACTTTCATGTCTCCACTCTGAATCTGATAGGACAAGAAGCTTCTGGTTTTTTTCTTTCTCGAAACTGATTATATTGGCAAGGAATTATTTTAAACACCAAAAACATTTTTGGTGGAGAATCATGTTTAATCTAATCAAGCCTCTAGCAGGCAGTTGCTTTCAGTTTTTTCTGACAGAAGAGTTGGATTATCTAGACATGTGCTAGATTATGATTTTAATACCACAGTCCTGTGTAGGTAATGTATCCTGCAAAAATGTATCCTTCAAGTAGAAGGCTCTAGCTGTCTCCCATGTCTTTGCCCTTCTACTCCCATATTTAGTGTTGTCAATTCTTGTGATCTGATTGCAAGTTGGTCTTGTGATATTTAGTGGATATTTTTACCATTTCCAGCTGCTAGAATTAAGAGATTGCACTACTGCTGCAAATTTAAGAAATTTACGTTGTTTTTTTTTTTAAATGCAAGAAGAGATTTTCATTCAATCTCTCTTGGTTAAAATCCATATACACACAATTGGTCAATGCAGTCTGTAGTTTAGGAGTGCTCCTGAATTCCTTGCTGACACTAAGTTGTCACATAGCAGCATCAGGAAGCCATGCTTCCTACCATTTTTAGTTAGCTGAGACTCCATCCTATCCTGATGGATAATGACCTGGCATCAGCAATACCTGCTTTCGTGACCTGCTGACTGGGGAAAAAAAGCAATGCAACATACCTGGTTGTCAAGCCATCAGCCCTTAGGAAACTCCAGCCAATACAGAATGTTACAATGTACTTCCTCAGCAACATTGGCTACCTCCAGTATGTCTAACATGTTTTCTGCTTTCTACACTGGCTTCTCATTGAATGTCAAGTTCAATATGCTCTATGGGCTGAACCCACGATATCTAAGATATTGCTTAGACCTTCAGGATAAAGATTGTAGCTGACAACTCCTTCTACCATAAGGTGAAGCTTGTCTGACAGAACCATCTCTAGGGCTGTTCTGATATTGTGAAGCAAACTCTCTCAGGAACTAAGGGCCCTCACAAACTCCACCTCCTTCCACTTCCGGAGCAAGGCATGCTTCTTCAAGCTGCCTTCTCTAACATACATTGATCAAACTGGACAGTCTCTATGTAAAAGAATAAGTGGACACAAATCAGACGTCAAGAATTATAACATTCAAAAACCAGTCGGAGAACACTTCAATCTCTTTGGTCACTCGATTACAGACCTAAAAGTTGCAATTCTTCAACAAAAAAGCTTCAAAAACAGACTCCAATGAGAGACTGCTGAATTGGAATTAATTTGCAAACTGGATACAATTAATTTAGGCTTGAATAGAGACTGGGAGTGGATGGGTCATTACACAAAGTAAGGTTTCAGAGGAACAGCCGTGTTAGTCTGTATTCGCAAAAAGAAAAGGAGTACTTGTGGCACCTTAGAGACTAACCAATTTATCTGAGCATGAGCTTTCGTGAGCTACAGCTGATGAAGTGAGCTGTAGCTTAAGAAAGCTCATGCTCAAATAAATTGGTTAGTCTCTAAGGTGCCACAAGTACTCCTTTTCTTTTTACACAAAGTAAAACTATTTCCCCTTGTTTATTTCCCCCCTCCACCCCCCACTGTTGCTCAGACATTCTTGTCAACTGCTGGAAATGGCCCATCTTGATTATCACTATAAAAGGTTCTCCCCCTCCCCTGCTCTCCTACTGTTAATAGCTCACCTTACCTGATCACTCTCATTACAGTGTGTATGGTAACACCCATTGTTTCATGTTCTCTATGTATATAAATCTCCCCACTGTATTTTCCACTGAATGCATCCAATGAAGTGAGCTGTAGCTCACGAAAGCTTATGCTCAAATAAATTGGTTAGTCTCTAAGGTGCCACAAGTACTCCTTTTCTTTTTGCGAATACAGACTAACACCGCTGCTACTCTGAAACTTCTCTAACATAGACACACAGCAGCATGCACATTTAAAAACACCCAAAGACCTTCCAAAACAAAACACTCCACTCCAAGCACAAGTCTCCCCTTGGAGAGAGGATGAAAGAGAGCAAGAGCAAGCCCGAGAACAACATGACAGATGTTAGTCATGTTGCTTATCGCAGGGGATGGAGGGCACTCAGATACTATTGTGATGTGGGTGGTATAGGAACCTATACAGAACCAGCCCTCAGGGTTGTAAATAAAAGCTTGAAAAGTGAAGAGTGTGGGGCCTAGCAGCTCAGAAAACAGAAGGCAAATCAAACCCCACATTTAAAAACTCCTCATGATTTTTAAACCAATCTCATGATTTTGGAGGAGCTGTTTTGTTTGTACTGCACATATGGCTCCTGTGTTGCTATTTTTGCCTTTCTGTGCCCCTATGTATTCTCTTCCTTCTCTCCCGCCACCGCGTTCTGCTGGCAAGAGACGACTTGGGACAGGCCCTAGCTCCCCTCCCGGGCTGGGCTGGCCACCAGGGCTTCCGCAGGGGCTGGCTGCAGGATTCAGGAAGACGGCTCAGCCCTTTGCGTTTGGAAACCGATCAGCCGGCAGGAATCGAAACCGAAAGCGGCCGACGGGGGACGGTTAAAAGCGCCGTGAGCGTCCCCTGCTCCGCAGAACCTTGGAGGCGGGGAGCGGAGAAGCCGGAGAGACGTGCCCAGGCCACCAGCGGGAAGCCCAAAGGCTGAGGGTTAGCTACACCCTTCCAGCAAGGGCCGGGCGCAGGGGGAGAACCGCAGCCCCCGGCCAAGCGGCTAGGACCTGAGCGCCGGAGAAGCGTAGGGAACCTCCCCCTTCCCTGGGCACTCTCGGAGCAGGCGGAAGCGCCGTCACCCGACGCCCCCAGCCTTGCCAGGGTGACTCCGGGCGCAGGAGAGATGTCGGCCCTATCGCCCGAGGAGCAGTTCCTCTGTCTGATCTCCTGCTTCAGGCACCGGCTCACGCAGTCCATACAGGTGGCACCGGTGCTGGACCGCCTGGCCACGCTGAGCCCGCAGGAGAAGGAGCGGATCCGGGCGGTCGCTGCGCAGCAGGGCGACCCGCAGGCGGCTGGGTTGCTGCTGGACGCGGTGGCGCGGAGCTGCCAGCAGCAGGGCTGGATCCAGCAGTTTGTCACTGCGCTGCAGCAGGGGGGCAGCGACTTGGCCGCCTGCTACGTGAACCCCAGCCTGAGCGAGCTGCCCTCCCCAGCGGAGGAGACCGAGCACGACGTGTGCGTGCACCTGGTGCAGCTGCTCTATGGCACCCTGGTGGACAAGCTGAGGAGCCGGCAGGTCACCAACAAGTGTGTGGAGAAGGGACTCCTCCAGGACGATGACCAGGAGCGGGTAGGTAGCGCTGCCCCCTCCACCCCTGGTGCTGGGCTTGGCCGCGGAGTTGCTGCATTTCCACACACCCCTTACACCCACAGAGCCGGAGAGGTAGCTACCGCGGCATTGTTTTCCCGGCAGCCGGGGTGCGGGGCAGGATTCCCGGACAGGGTGGATGAGCCTCATCGACTCCCCGTCAAAGGAAAGCCTCACCCGGGCCGAGCGCTGCTCGCCTGACTCCCGCCCCGCCCCAGCAGCCCTTCGCAGGGGAGACGCGCAGCAGCTGGGATTCCTTCCTTCCTTCCCTCCCCGGGCAGCGAGCCCAGGAGGAAAGCACAGGAATTGCCCTTCCCTGCCTCTGGTCCCACCTCCCAAAAGCTGTCCGGTGACCGGGGTGACGAAAACGCCTCTGCAGAACTGATCTTCCTCTCCTGTTGCTCAGGCCGCAGGACTCCCCTGTTTGACTCTCATAACTGGCGCTTGCACAACATATCAAATTCAAACATGTGTTCTTCAAGGTTCTCCACCCCTCTGCTCCCACTCATGCTTGCTCTCCTGTTCTAGCCCGGCCGCCTCTATATTTGTTAATTTTGTGCTTTTTTTTTTCCTTGCTGTGTCTTGTGCTTGGAACAGCCCCTCTCCGATAATACACCTGATAACCATCTTTTCATACAAACTCCTCCTCAGAATATGTCTGCTATATCTTTTAACAATAATCCACTAATGAATTTCTTTCTTTCTCTCTCTCTGTGTGTATGGTAAAAAAGGGTACCATTTTGAGGTTGGAATTTTTGGGGTTCTCTGGTATACATTATGAGTGATTGTCTTACGTGGATTGTAAGTCTTCTGCGGTGAAAACCATGGCTTGATCTACACTACAGAGTTAGGTTGAGGTAAGGCAGCTGATGTGGACCTAAATTAAGTCAGTGTCTACACTAGAATGCTGCTTCTGTGGAAGTAAGTGGTCTGGTACACCGACATAATAACAACCTCCACAAGAGGCACAGCGCTTATGTCAATTAGGGCAATGCAGGGTCTGTGGAATTTCGTAGTGTGGACAAATCCCAGTCTTTACTCTTTGAATTGTACAATTCAGAGCACACTGTACATACTCCCCCCCCCCCCCCGCCAACATAGAAAGACCCAATTTGTGTCATAGGGACTCCTACTTAGGCAAATGGGGTGTCCTAAGCATTTTTAAATACCCATCCAGTAGGAGGTGTCCATCAGCAGCCTGAGAACTGTGACAGGCATGTATACTGATGGTGATGGCAAAGCCACCTGTGGTAGATATTCTTATTGATATGATACGGTTTGATGCTGCAACGGATTTGAACTTGCTTGCTAATAAGATTTTTGACTACAAACCGCACCCTATGACCATGGCAGTTTTGTTCACTTTTTCCATGCCAGAAGCTGTCATGCATTTTTCATAGAGAAAAAGTGTTGGCTAGTTTAGTTTCAGACAGAGTGTCTGGCAGTGATGGTGGACTTTCTAGGTCATTGAGCACCTCTAAATCGTTGTCTCTGCATTCCAACAAGCAAGTTTGAAGAGGGCAACTCTCGTACATGAACCTCTGGAATGCACACTGAGGCAGGAAAAAAATAATTTGGGACAGGACTTAAACATGTGCTTGATTTTATATGCATGCTTAAGTCCCATGTTTAACTTCAATCGTGTGCTTGAGTCCTATTGACTTCAATGAGATTTAAGTATGTTTAATTTTGAGCATGTCCTTATGCACTTTCCTGAATCAGGAACTTGGATTGTAAGTGGTTTGGGCTCTCATTCTTACTATGTGTTTGTACTGTGCCAAGCACAAGGGCCCTAAAAGTGCTATGGCGATTCAAATAATTAGTAATAGATAAGATATAAGTGGTGTGAGCAGGTATTTTTTGTATTTTTAAAATGGAGATGGCTGCTAGAATTGATAATGTGTCTACCTACAAATAAAATGATAAAAGAAACCAACTAACTAACCACCCTGAAAATAACTTTTTTTGATATAACTTCAATGCTATGTGTTTTAGTGGGAGACTAAAAGATCCTGTGTTGTAAAAGTTAATGTTCCTATTTATTTCATCATTAGTGTGTAGGTAATGAAAAGTGAAAGACCTTGAAAAATCTGGTTTACCATTATCTAGCCCTTTTTTTGTTTGTTTTTTTGGTACTATAGCTTGGGCGACGAATACACTAATCCAATAGTTTTCAAACAATGGTCTGTGCGAACTGGCAGTTCACATGAAGTTGGTAGCTCCTCCAAACATCACGGTTCTTCGCTGCAGAAAACTATATACCTGGAAACCAGGAGGAGCCAACCTAGGTAGTGTTGGCACCAGGAGTCTACTACCCCTGAATGGATCTTTAATGGCTTCCAGTGGAGCAGATTACTTTCATACCAGTGAAAAAGGTCCACAGTAATTATCTTGCATACACAGCAGTTTATTTGAGAAGCAATTACACAAGTGGTAAAAGGTTACATTAAGCACATAACTCCTATGTTAGACATTAAGAACTATACATTCCTCTTAGTGAGCCTCTCTTTCACAAACATACACAAAGAGGCCCTGTGCTAGCCTCACACAGTTCCTGCTTGGCAAACAGAGAAGGTGGTTACCAATTCTATGGACGGCTTCTTCTCTCCAGGTCTGAGAGGAACAGCCGTGTTAGTCTGTATTCGCAAAAAGAAAAGGAGTACTTGTGGCACCTTAGAGACTAACCAATTTATTTGAGCATGAGCTTTCATGAGCTACAGCTCACTTCATCAGATGTATCATCTGATGAAGTGAGCTGTAGCTCACGAAAGCTCATGCTCAAATAAATTGGTTAGTCTCTAAGGTGCCACAAGTACTCCTTTTCTTTCTCCAGGTCTGGTCTCCTCAGCCCTCTGGTCTGTGTCAGATTCCCTCGAGGCAAGGTCTTGGCTGCCTGGAAACCCCGCTGGTCACAGTCCTACTCGAGGCCACAGAGCAGAGTTTTGGCTACTCTGTCTAGCAGCGTTGCTTCTTTAAGCATTAATTAAGGAATCCCCCCTCTCGCTTCAGTAATTTATTTTGCTTGATTTTTATACTCTTTTTTCCTCAAAGGAGTCACATGTCTTAAAAGCATGCCCAGTGAGCATGTGGCTACTAATTTTTACCTAATTAATACTTTAGGAGGAGACTGCAGAGTGGTACCAACTGAACATTACCCCACGTTCACTCCTTCCAGTGGCGTAGCTAGGTGGAGTGAACAGGGGCAGCGTACATAAAAGAAAAAAAGGTGCCACCTACTTGTATGCATCGGGGGACGCTCCGGGTCCTCGGTGGCACTGAAGGCCCCCGCCGCCAAGCACCCGGAGCGCGTGAAGGCCCCCGCCGCCAAGGACCCGGACCGCCGCCGGGTGAGTAAAAATTAAAAAAGGAACCTATAAACTAAAAAGGCGCCCCTTGTGCTCAGAGTGGGAGCGGCCGCTCCCCCCCGTTTTCCCCCTTGGCTACTCTACTGACTCCCTTATCAAGCATTCACTTCAGCCACCTGCATGATGTCCTTCAGCAGGGTCGAGATGCCCCAGTCAGTCCATGCTCCACGCAGGATGTTCTACACGTGTTGTTTGCTTTCAAGTGGACATATTTGCTGACTCAAAGATCAGTATTAATCATACACGCAGCATGGAGCCAGTCAGTTTTACCTCTGGCGTCTGCTAAGAGAAGGGTTCTGCTCCCAGAACCCTCTTTCGCAGTTCAGTCATGTCAAGCCATGTTCTCACTCCATTCATTCAGTATGGCCACACCAATTTGGCAACATCCCAACAGTTAGCTGTCTCTTCTGGAGTCCAGTGTTAAATAAGAAGCAGAGCGGAAATAGGAGTTGTCCTCAGAGATCATAGAAAGCATGTTTAGGAGCAGAAGAGGATCAGGCAACAGGGAAGCATGGACAAAGGGAGAGGAAGAAAAGGGGTCAGAGTGGTGGAGGGAAGTGTATGAAGGGAAACAGGAGAAGATGGGGCTGGGAAAAGGAAAGGAAAAAGAGTAACGTTAGACATGATCATTAATTTTCACCCACCAAGCTAAAATGCATACATTGTTCCATGTAAGCCATTGCTTTAGTTGCGATGGAGATGTTCTGCAATGGTAAATGGGAAGAGATATGGCCCCCACAACTATGAAAGAGGGGATGTGGTCCATCTCTCAGTTAAGGGGAAGGGGGTGTGTGTGTGCACGTGCATGCCACAGAATGCGGTTATACCATGGGTTCAGCCTGCAGCCAGTAGGCTCTGCAACTTCAGTACCTCTTTATTTCAGCCTTTATTTATACCAGCTACCTTAAAATATACCACTGGTCAGACTGTTGCAAAGAAATCATTGTTTGATGCCGGACTTCACAAACTAAGGGAGGTGGCAATAGATTATTCAGATTTTGAATTGGATTTAAAGATAACCTGGCTATAGCCTATGGGGAGCAATTTCACATGTGCATGAAGATGGACTAGATGACAAAATGCAGTAAATCTCTCCTGATTAAAAAAAAAAAATAAAAATTGGCTCACTTATTTTGTATTTTTATCTATATCTGTGTGTATTCCAACTTAAAGGGAAAAAACCCACAACCAGAGTTCTGTACATTTTGTCTTTACTATGCTGTATGAGCCTTTTAAAAAAAAAATTGTTCTGAGGTTTTAATCTTACTTTGAGGATTTATTTTCCCCTTCTATTTTAACCAGATCTTAGCTGCAACTGAAAATCATGGGGATAGGGAAGGTGCACGTGAGTTGTTAAGTAGAATAATAAAGAAGAAAGATTGGTTCTCTCCATTTTTGGCTGTCCTGCGTGAAACTAAGCATGGAAACCTTGCAGATGAACTAAGTGGAAATGTACCAGGTAATTGTTATTTCACTAGTTTAAATTATGACTTCACCAGCTTTGCTTTTTGTGCTTGTACTGAATCTTTGGGCCCAATTCCAGAATTATCTTCAGTGGGACTACTTATTTAGGGATTACTCATATAAAGGTATCAGGATAAGGCTCTTAATTTCTTACTGACTGACTGACTTTTAAACACATAACCAGACAAATGACAAATTTAATGAAGATTAACTACTTAAAAATTGACAGGTTTCAGAGTAACAGCCTATTACCAGCAGGACAGTGGGGTGGGAGGAGGTATTGTTTCATATTCTCTGTGTATATATAAAGTCTGCTGCAGTTTCCACGGTATGCATCTGATGAAGTGAGCTGTAGCTCACGAAAGCTCATGCTCAAATAAATTGGTTAGTCTCTAAGGTGCCACAAGTACTCCTTTTCTTTTTACTTAAAAATTATAATTCAGTTGCATATTTTCCAGCCCACCTTTATTAACTTTGTATTTAATACAGTTTTTTTTTAAATCCATGTAATTTTCAGCACATAGGCATTCTGAAAATTGTTTTTGATAAACACAAACTGACAGTTTCAGTTTTCTTGCACAACAGACAGGATTATGTCTTCCTAAGAACCCCTAGTTACAAATGCATGTACTCTTGAACATCTCCTATATGGGTAAGTCAATCACAGCTCTCAGATGTTAAATACAATAGAGTAAACAAATAATTAGTTCATTCATGGAAATGACAAAATTAAGAGGGCTTTAGTGTTTCAGCTGCTGTTAACTATTCATACTACCACAGAATGACTCGTGTTTTAGGATCGTCCTTTCCAGATTGCTGACCAGGATTCTGCAACAGCTAAAAAAGAAGCAGCAGCTCAGATGTCTGTTCCAGGATTTAAATTGTACCCAGCACATGCAGGGACATTTTAGAAGTTTTTAGGGCTTTTAGCAGTTTAGTACCAGACTTGTTAAGTCTCCTGCTTGGCCAGGAAGGTCCTGTTTTTTCATCAGTTTTCTGAACTGTCCCCCCATGGCAGCTTCAACTTCCCAGTTTGAAGAGCTGAGGAGACACTGACTCAGGGGGGTTGACTATAGTTAGCACACAGCTTCACCAGGTAAGGCTATGATTAGAATCTTCCAGGCCTCTAATGGGGCATCTCCCTGCTAAGAGCAGGAAGCAGCCAGATCCCTCTCTCAGCCCAGGGCAAGCAGCAGCTAGTATCAGGGACTAGCAACTCAGCCACAGTTCTCCACCCAGTGCAGGACAGGTTGCAACCAGGTCAGAGCATCAAGGAGTCAACCCAGGGAGATGCCAGAGCCAGCTAGCAACATATTTGTTCCTGTGTTCCTAAAGTTCATTCCATGCAGCAGCTTTGTCAGACTTAACTTCTAGTAATCAGGACACTTGCTCTTATTTATGTAAACAATGTAATGCATATTCCTCAAATATGTAAATTAGAGTATTAAGTTATTTGTGTACAAACTCCAGATTTCTGAACCTTCAGCTTTAATGTTGCTCTGTGCAGATACTGTGCAGGGTAAAAAGTTGAATAAGACTGTTATTCAGTGCACTGTTGAGGCCAGGTCTACACTACACACTTTGGTATAACTACATCGCTCAATGGTGTGAAAAATCCACACCCCGAGCGACGCTGTTATACTGACTTTAACCCACCATGTAGACAGCACTATGTCAGCAGGAGAGCTTCTCCCGCCAACATTGCTACTGCCTCTCACAGAGGTGGAGTTACTAAGCCGATGGGAGAGTTCTCTCCCATCGGCTTAGAGCGTCTTCACCAGAATCACTACAGCTGCACAGTTGCAAGTTTATAGTGCAGACCTGTCCTGAGTCTTAGCGCTTTAGCTTGGTAACCTGGGCTAATGCAGTCCTCAACAAGACATTACATAATATAGCATGCAGCAAGTCCATCACGCTGTTATCACCAAAAAATTAATATTTTCTCATGTCAGGAATGCTGTATGCATGTAGGATATGGTGAGAGTGGATGATGGGCCCCCTGAGGGGGTTGACCTGCCCACCTTTTTGTATATGTCTCCACAATTGTAAGGACAGCCAGCATTCTAAAAGGCCCTCTGTCGTTGGTGTGTAGTCAAGAACATTGTAAGAAAAAGAGAGGTGGCAAAATTTTGTCTCTCTGATCCCAAATGACTTGTTAATGGAAAATGGCTTCTTGAAGTTGTTTGCAGAAAAGGACAAGGTGTGAAAAAAAACCTCAAAATAAGAGAAATTTAGTAATTCAATAATCCTGCAAAACAAGGCCACTTTTTAAAAACAAAAACTTAAATAAATGAACAAATATGGAAAACCCTGGAGTGCAGTGATCTCCAGTGTTTCTGTGTGGAGCACTCGTATGTAATTTATCAAACTGCTTTGTTATTACTGATGAATATTCCAACTCTTATGCATCCGTGTACCCATGCTGAAAACTAAAAGTACTGCAAGGATTGAGTCTAAAAGAGGGATGGTCTTTGCGTTGAAAAGAATATAGAACAATGACAGAACATTGTTAGGCCAAACCCTCTATTATGTTTTCTGGATTTATGGACCCACATTATAACACAGGATGAATTCTGCTGGTCTTTATGTCCATGCAACCCCATTGACTTCAGCAAGGATTTACAAGTACAATGGCAAGCAGAATCTGGCCTGTTATTTTATTTTCAGACCTTAATAGATCAAACATTTTTTTTCCCCTAGAAATGGTGGCAGTAAGTATTCTAAACACAGTGAGTCCAATTTTCCAGTGTTAGTGTCTGAAGAGATCATCTAAATCCTGTATTTGGACCCTCAGGTCAACACTTAGGACATTTACGCCTTTGTGTGCTGACTCAGATGTGCAAATATGAGATTAGACTTTCTGTTTAGTTGCCTGCGTTTGGAGAGTGGGCTGCACGTTTCAGTGAAAACAGCTTGTTTTGTGATGTAGTTCAAATTTTATTACTTTTGTAGAAACCGAAAATAAAGAAAATGGGATCAAGCAACCAGCTACTACAGATGTGGACATGGAAGCTGAAGAGCCGTTGGCCTCTGAAGTAGGGGAGGAGCTGAAGCAGAGAGATGAAATGAATGATAGTCTGGCCAGAGAGAGCATTATATTAGGAACATCTTTTGAAGACACTTCTGAAGTTTTAGGTAATCTAATAATGGGTACTTTTTTTTAGCATGTCACATAACATGACAAAACTTCAGGAATTAGGAGTAGCTGAAACCAAGATCTGTAAAATATCAGATATAGATTTGTTTCCAGTGAGCTCCCTGCAGGCTGGAAATTTCAGTTTACTGAATGTATGCTATGAGCAATGCTAAGGGCATAAGTGAAAAGGAGAAAGTACGCTCTGGGGGAAATGGTAAATTCCCACCCCACTCCCCACCACATATTTACAGTAATATAAACAACTGCTTATCCACTTTGGGCCAAATTCTGCAGGCCTTGTTCTGTCCTTAGGTAAAATTGTCACTTGAATTCAATGAGAGATGCAGTGGGCTGAGGCATGACTAAAACTGCCACACCTGAACTGATTAAACACAACTAGAGAAAAATCTCCCCTAAGGCAGCAGTAGGGGGTCCAGGAGCTGTCTTGCGGCACAAGACAGAATGGCTCAGGGGGACCTGTGCCAGAGCACTCCTACCTGCTGTTCCCATGGAGCAGGGGTCACTCCCATAGGAACCAGTACAGGTTTATAGTGAACATATAGGATTTGCTACTTTAGCATGGCCTTCATGATTTGCTCACTTTTGATAAAAAGAGCATCAGTATTTGTCTTCTTCCTGTTTGTAATAAAATATTTTAAAACTATTTGAAAACCAGCATTAAGATGTTGTTTGACTAAATGTATAATTCTCATATAGGTTCAACAATTATCACAGATTTCAGGTTAAATCAGCCCAGGTCTACATTAGAAAAGGTTTGGTTGTATAGTTGTACTACTATAACTATACTGGCAAACCATCCTGGTGTAGAGGCACCTTATACTGGCAAAAGCACTTTTATGCCAGTATAATTGTGTCTCCACTAGGGCTTTTGCCAGTAATTGTCTAACAACTTTTTAAGGGCAAATGTTTTCTTTACACCAAAAACAACATCTTCAAACTTAACTTACTAGATCGTGTACAAACACAGAATCAGAAATGTTTTTAATTACTTATATTCCCAGTGAATTCACTTTTGAAAAATGTGCTTTGAACCATAAATAGCAGCAATACCGGCCCATATGGGATCCAATGATTCAAACGTATGCTTGTGAGCTAGGAAGACTTTCACATCTGTTACAGGTTCAGATAGAGCCCAAGTTGATAGTAATGATAATGGTCAAGATAAATCCTGCCTGCCTTGCTCCATGTGTGCTGATCCAATCAGGGATTTTAATGGATCTGCTCATATGAGTAAGGCAAAGGAGGATTTGGCTCTGAAAACTGTAACCCTTCGCCAAGGGTAACAAGACAGCTCCTTTTTTGTCCAACATAATATAAACAATATATCACAAAGTGTGTGTTTTAAAGTAACTGGTAGATTGTGTACTTGCATAAAAAACATTTGTAGGCAGTCTTAGCAGAGATGCCAAGTATTGAACTGAACAGATTGAACTCCCTTTCACTCTTAGAAAGGGTCTTTCGAGAACAGGGCCTGGACACAGCGACATACCCTGAGTGTGGTTATATTTCCATGCAGAGTTAGCCTGGGCTCTTTTCTGGTGTTGCCCCTAACCTGCCTTCCATCCACACACAACAACTGCTCACTTTAGTGGTGATTTTCATCTGGGCTATCTGACCCAGATGAGGGTGTGGGTTAGAGCCTGGGTTTCGCTTTCACTCAGGCTGGTAAACCATCCACTTTGCAGTGAGGACACAGGGTGAGTCACTTGAGTGGTGATAGTTTTCCAGTGTCTGCACATGGTTCCTTCCCATGTTCCCGGAAAGACAGACAAATTCTCCCATAATTAATTGGGAAAGAAACATAGAGCAGCTCAGGTTAGTGCAGCACAGAGAACATGGGGTGTGCCCCCAGAAGTCCTAGTGACTCACGCCTGGTAAGTGCAACACCAGTCAGGACCCAGTAACCTTAGGTAGGGCTTTGCATTGTAGCAGCTCTCACCCAGTCTCCTTAAAATCAATTTCAGTTTTGTTTGACAAGATCTGTTTTCCATACAGTTATGTCGATTGACATTAATTATGCTATAGAAAGATAAGTTCTATAAGACACTTCCATAGGGATGGAGAATAGAGAAGTAGCTGCTGTACCCTGTTTTCCACCCTGCCTTCCACCTCCACACACAGATTAGAGCCTATAGATCTAAGTTTTGCAATATGGGCCAAATTTTCAGAAGTGCTTTGCACCCAGCTGCTCCCATTGTGACATATGGCCATTGAGTGTTGAGCTCTTTTGAAAATTGAACCTTACATTTGAGTTCACTATAAATTGATTCCACTGCATTCATTTTAAAAGGAAGATTTCAAATATGTCTTACAAATGATTCTCCGATTCCCTTATGTTAGACACACCTCACATTGTTTTAATATTGCAGTCCAGCTAATTAGGTTTACAAGATTGTTTATATTTTGATTCCAATACTTTCTCCTTTACATTTGTCCATGTGTTCCACATTTTAGGTCTGTTTCCCAGTATAATGCAGCACAAGCGGGTGCTCTTTTCCATTTTATCAAAAGCACAAGGGACCTTATTCTCGACTGCCTTGCACTACATATGCAATCATTTCTGTCTGTGCAAAGTGGGTGTAAAAGGCTATGTAAGGTGCAGTGAACAGTAGGGAACAATGAGCACTCTGAGGGAAGGATAACAAGGCTGATGAAAATGGTCGAAATATCAGCCTCTTTGTTTTGATCATTTGGGGAAGGTTGACTTTTTTTAATGTAATTTATGAAAATCACCAAAATTTTAAAATGGAGAATGTTACTCTTCTTTCACCTGAAAAACTCTTTCATTTTGGAAAATGAGTTCTTTTTCATTTCTCTTCTAATGGATTCTCCTGAGGGAGGGTTTTGTAATGAATACTGTAGCTTGCGATTTAAATGTTAGCACAGAGAATATATTTACATTTTTTTAGAGCCACATTTTGGTGCTGCCCTTAGGGTTGTGCCAGAAAACCTATACCCATAGTGGAGCAAGCTGATCTCCTCATTGAGAATGTAGAGCATTTCTTGTCCAGCCACTAATTAGAAGTAAGATCAGATTATAGTAGCCATTTTGAGGGCCTTCATGGAGTGGTTGGTAGACTCACTCCAGGCCCCAGTAACAGGTGTTCACATCACAAAGCTGCCATCAGTGCTTGTGCTCGTGGTGGTGGTCTCAATAGAGAGGACAAATCAAGAGTAGATATTGACGGTGGCTCTCCAGGACAAAGTTAAAGCTTGCCCTGCAGTTGCCTCTATTTTACTTGTTCTGTTGACAAATAAGAGGGGTTAATTTCTGGTAATCAACCACCTTTGAGAGGCACTAAAACTTGCTTAAAAGAGAGCAAGACCAAGCTGTCATGTAGTCACTGGCCTGGGACATGCTGACCATGAAGCAGATTACTTCTCCCCCAACATGTTTCTCACCAGGATGCTTGTATTGTATATTTTTAAAGTACCATTTTCAGAAGCAAGTGTAGCTTATCTTTATCCAGGAAATGCTAGATCTCTCTCTCCCTCTCTCTCTCTTTTTTTTTTAAACAGAAGCTTTTATTATTAATGACCATTTTGTTATGTGGATTACTTGTTGACTACAGCAGGACCCATGTATATGAGTAATAATGGATTAATAATTGAAAACCTACTAACAGGTAGTATTGACCAGGTGTTCTACTGCCTTGCATCTTGTGTAGTCATTTAAACATGTGCAAAGTGGATGCACACACTACCCTCCGAACTTGGTAGTTTTCTACACTTGCTTTGCACTCACTTTGCACAGATGGAAATGGCATAAATAAGCTGCAAGGCAATGGGGAATCCGGTCATGTGGGCTAGATGTTTCAGAAAAGTTCTTAATCCATTTAGACACCAAAATAGTTGAGCCTTTTTGAAAATCTGACCATACTGTCAAGTTTATAATTTAATTCTGCCATATCGTTGTCCTCCAGTAGAGGGCATGTTAAACATTGAGATAAGTCTGTCATACCAGAGATATTCATTGCAGTGTTCAAGTCTTCTAGCAGGTATAACATAATTAGCACTTTCTAGTTTTATTTGGAAATTGTTTAGTAGATTAAATGTTGTCTCTTTGCCTTTAAACTATATGAAAAGACTTTTTTTATCTTGCTACTTAAAAGGCACCAATGTAAAAGTCATCCTTCTGGCTGTTTTTTTTTTATTATTATTATTTATTTTTTTGCTTGTTTTTAAATCTGCTATAGATACAAATAATACCTAAGATTACATTGGCTGAAAAAGAGTAGAAGGGAACATATTTTTTCCTTTTTTCAGTTTTCATACTTTATTCATTTGGCAGCACTTGGTGTATAGGTGTTTTCACTTTTTTTCCTTTTATAGCTATAGTTAGTCAGTGTCCCTACTCTTCCATGCAGAAACAGGTAGGTCTGAAATATGATTGTTTAAAATTTAAAAAAAAGCTGGGGGATTCAGGGGCACGTGTAGTATCAAATTGAGTTAAACACAGTTTCAGAAACTTAGATTTCATGTTGAAGGAGTCTCTTTAAAATTATTTTGGAGAAAATACACTTGCCTTAACAAGTTGTAGTGTGATTACAGCCACAAAGTGTATTTAATTGCTAAGGCCCTGATCCTGCAAACACTTTAGCACATGCCTCTATTAGAGTAGCAACGAAATTATTTTCAGGAGTCATGGAAAATGAGATGAACTATTAACAACTGTAAGTCGGTGGTGTTGTGTGCTGTGCTTTAGCCGTGTTTCACATCAGTGGTAACCAAAGTGGCATAGCCAGATATAAGTGTAGTCAATACAGTGCTTTCGGACCCTGTGGAACAATACTGTGTAAGTATAAGATTTTCACTTAGTTTTTAGACTGATATTTTAGCTTTAATATTAATAAAATGAATATTGTCACATTTGGCTTAAGCTCTGTAGGAGAGGAGCCGTGTCTTCATATTTGCTTAAATAACTGCAAACATGTGGCACTAGACTAGATTAGGGCCTCTGGATGGTACTGTAATACAAATAATAGGTTTTTTTAATTATTTTACTAAGTTCCAATCAGTTATACCTGTAGAAGTCAATTAAAGGGAGAGAGGTAGGAACTGAACTGACCCATATAACCTTTCTGACTGGTAATAGTGATACCCAAGAAGGAAAGCTTATTTTGTCTCTTGATACCTCATTGTTTGCCAAACTGGCAAGGAAAAGCAAATCCAGGTCCTGAGTTTGTTAATAAGAGGCTTACCAGGCAAGTCTTATTGGAAGTTAGATTTGTCACAGTAAACTTCTGTAACTTGTTAGTCCTTGCTGTTTTTATATTTATATATTTCAACAAGATAACCCACAAGAAAAAACATTAAGAAATCTGACAAGATACGTTGTGGAGGCTTTGGGAGTGCAGGGTACATGTGTAAATGATTTTTATGACTGTCAGTTTTGAACGTAATAAATTAGACCAGAAAGCGCTGGTGAACTTTCTGTACACTTTAAAGAACTTTGAGGTCCTACCACGTTCATGTTTAACTTCAACTTCCTGTATTCTGTTATTGTCTGGTTACGTCTGTAGCCTAAAGTGTCATAATAGGTCTCCCAAGGAATCATTTTTACTTCTACAGTTTGCAAACCACAAAGTCTTTAGATTTACTGGGAAATGGGCATCTCCATCGGTTACCAGTGCAGTTCCTCCTCCAGTTCACACAAAGCTAAATGCTGAGCCTGGGTCTGGCCACTTTGAACTCTTAAAGCTGGAAAATTGCCCTATGGGGTAGGCAAGCATTCCCCTGACAGTAGGGAATCCTCCTATGGCATAGCTGATCCTATACCATCTGTACCACTCCCCCCGGCACACCACAACCTTGGCATAGGGGGCAGGAAGAGCGTGTGCTGGGGCAGGGCTGAATGCTTGGTTCTACCCGAGATTGTCAGCCACCCCAGCCTGTTGCTGCAGCTGACATAACTTTGAGCTCCCCTCAGCTACTCTGCTTTTTTGGCATGCCTTTGTTGAAATATAGTGTTAACTACAAGCATGCAGGGAAATATTCTTATGTCATAAAACATTTAGATTTATTTTTAATGTTATCTTTTACAGAGTCTGATGTCAGTTTGCTCGATGCAAGTGTCAGTTGCTTAAATGAAAGTATGGGCCATAGTAGCAACACAAGTGGTGATACAGGTACAATTTATTTATATTCTAGCAAGCCTGAAATAAGGTGTATGGGAGCAAGCACCTGGGGTGTTCTGTACCAAGAACAGTAGTTCCATTGTGAGCTCCAGCCTCGTCTGTAAGCTCTTTGGGGCAAGGACTCTATTTTCACATAACACAGTGGGATCCTGACTGGGGCCTGTGGGCTCTTCCATAATATAATGTGTAATGATATGCGATGTTGTGCCATAAAGTAATTCATCACTTGCCTTTTCTTCAACTTCCCTCAAAGTAAAGCGCATCCCAGAAAAGAGAGCCAGTTTGTGCTCAGCCCTTGAGTAAGACGGTGAGAGGGAACAAGTTTTAGCAGCACTTTGACAGGTTATGTTTTGAGGGATCTAATGGCTAGGGACAAAATTTTTCAGGAGCAGCTGTGTGACTTAGGAGAACAAGTTCCACTGAAAATTAGAGAGACTTGTGTTCCTAAATCACTTAGAGCCAGCTACAGAAAGGTATTTAGGCACCACTGACATTCACAAAACCACTGCTCAGCTGCCACCTGTGTCCCCATGGCACCTAAGTTTCCACTAGTCAATGTTTGCAAAGCTGACTAATTGCTGATACTACCCCACAGCTAGCCAGCTCCTCAGAGCCCTAGTCCCAAAGGGCCCAAAGCAAGATTTTCAAACTAAGAGGGGGAATGCCTTGGGCAGAGATTTGAACCAACATCTCCCCCATTCCAGCTGAGTGCCCTAACCACCAGACTGTTAAGTATTCTGGGGGGTGGCTCTCTCAATCTCTCCTATTGGGACTGTTCCATTTAGTATAAATCACTAAATATTGATTTGGCCAGAGAGAGACTGATTTTATAGCCCACTGGTTAAGGCACTCACCTGAGAGGTGAGGGAGACAGGTTCAAGTCTCTGCTCCAGATCAGATAGAGCAGGGATTTGAACTTGGGTCTACTACATCCCAGTGCCCCACTCACTTGGCTATTCTTGTGCATATGCGCTCTCTCTTCTTTTGTTGCCCCTCCCCCCGGATTTTTTTGTGAGAAAGATCTCTGTTTTGAGGGTGGCACCAGCCTCTGGCCCATCAGTAATGGACTTAAGGCCAAGATCAATAGGAATTAGGCACCTAAATAACTTTGAGGCTCTGGGCCCTAAGCCCTGCCCCTTTCCTGTGCATTTCATTCCCAGCTAGTTTAGATGGCTCTCTGCTCAGCTTGCTGGTTTCTGAGGATCGCCTCCTTAGGTGCCTCACTCTCTCTATACAATACATAGCCTAGGCACCTAACTCAGGGCTGAGAATTCAGGGTGCCTCAGGGTTAAGCAGTGCAACATGAGCAGAGCAGTGCCTAAGTATCTTTGTGAATCAGATCCTTGGCCACTTTTGCAAATCACATCCTAGATCTTGCAAATGGATCTGCCTATGCAGAGCTCTGTTGCCTTCAAAGGGAACCTTTTTGTCTTTAGGGATCTAGCGCTATTTAAATTTGCCTCTCTCTCCCCTTTGTGTGGGGGCTGGGAACAATCTGGGTCTCCAAATATAACCAGCTGACACAATCTGTTTAATAAAACCAACATAAGGGATTCATGAAACCAATATTAATAATATGAAACCTTCATAATTGCACTTGATCCAACACCAACTGAAGTCTATGAAAAGATTCCCATTGACCTCAGTGGGCATTGGGTCAGGCCATTGTGATATATATGTTCAAAATGTACAAACATTAATCACTCAAGGTATGGGATAAAAGGTGGGGTTTTAAATTTTTTTATTAATGTGTTAACTTGTTGAAGGTGACCCCTGGGGTTCACCAGGACCAGTTAACACTTGTTAAAATTCAGCTTGCTCTGTCTACAGTAGGGTTTTTAAAAGATGTTCCTTAAAATATGCTTGCTAACACAGTTCTTTAAAAACAAACAAACCATAGTTTATTCTCATCTAGCAAATTTTGTGAGGTCAATATTGGAGCTAAGGAGAGAGAGACCTCCTGCTAATGACAGAGTTTGGTATTTTTAAATGAGTGTCAACGGCTCTGTAATACTGTCATCAGTGGTTTACTAATAGTGTTTACTGTAGTGAAGTTTGTGTCCTTCACTTACATTTGATGGCAGTTTGATATTCAAAGATCATTTTTCTTAAAAAGAAATGGAGGTTAGGAAAAGGATGCAAAGCACGGAATACTGATCGTGTGAGTAGACCCAACACAGCAATTCATATGAGCCTTTCAGGGAAACAGCTAACTGGGAGAAAAGGACATAGCATAAAGGACGTTCTTTAAAATTTTTTTAAATCTATATGTTTATCAAAAGGGAGGAAAAAAGATACAGAAGAAAGAGAAACATTTTTCTAAAGCAGTTAGGTTAGTTTGAGGATTTCAAGACATTGAAAGTTAACCAAACAGACAGGTGATATGGTGCTAGTTTCAATATGATTATTGGGTTTAGCCAAGCAGAAAGCAAACAAATGCACTTCCTCAAAACGGAGCAGTAGTAGTTAGATGACTACAGCCAAGCACTCTCTGGTGTGAATTTTCCTTTGCTCAGATAGTACTGCACTCAGATTAAAAGATAAAACAAGCAAAAAACACTTAGAAATGGAACCTGAATGTTTCCATCAGCAGTCTTTTCTCAAGGTTCATTAAATTCTGTTAGTTTAGTTTTATTTAATGGAATCAGATACAAAAATGGGACACATTAGACACAAAATAAGTAACAGTGATGTTAAAAGCCCTGCAATTCTTTGTGTAAGTGATCTCATCAGACAATGAGAGCAGGGTTTGGGGTTTGTTTTTGTCTAGTGAAATAGTGTCTTTATCTTTGCTGTGGAATGTAAGCACTTTGAGAACATATACAGAGAGTTCTATAAAAGTATGGTTGAAAATAAAATAAATCTTAAATGTATATACAATAGTGTAGAAATAAGTTCTGCCTTTTAAAATGCAGTAAGTTAATACAGATCAACTCAAAGCTTGATCCTGTTCCTGCTGTCTTTGTGCTGTGAGATTAGCACTGAGCCCATAATGTCACTCAGATTATGTCTACACTGCAAACTGAGGTGTGGTTGCACTATACTCATGTTGCTAGCCCTCGCTGCTGCATCTACGCCACTCTTTTCAGCCATGCTACCATGGATAGGCCTGCCTGTGCGGCAGTCACACCTCAGATAGCACTGTAGACATACCCTTGGGAGGCAAGTGAAGATGGGATTGTAGCATGGGTAGGCATACCTGTGCTAGCTTTAATCTAGCTAGCCTGGGTGACAGCAGTGAAGCCGTGGCGGTAATGTAATTCATGTGGGATTATACATATCAATGAAAGGTTAGCAGTATTTCAGGAGATGTAGATTTCCAGAATCTTGCCTACTTATTATGGACCAAATCCTTGGTCCTGCACAAAGCCCAAATAAATGGGATTTGTGAGGGGGGGATTCTATGGCGGCTGACTGAATACAGAGCAGCAGTAGAGCTGTACAAAGGCTTCTACCGCCCCCGAGCTGCCTTAGCGTCTCCAGTTACTATACTCCCTTCTCATACAGTGGTTTTGGTGGTGGATTCTCAATTTGTGGATCATGCACCGAAAAGCTTTGCTTCATGCTTAGACAAACAGAGTCCTCACAGAGCCCTGTGGTATGCAGAGATTGTTTCCTTTAACATCCATCAAGTAGAACTATACTAACTCACAGCATTCGAGGACTTACTTCCACTGCCCCTACTTGTGTTGGACGATCTGGCTCTATAGGTGTTAAGTAATAAATTAACATATAACTAGCTTTGCCTATCTCCTGATTATGTTTATTCTGAACAAGCTTCTGACTGGGCTGCTTTTCAACCCAGGAGTTCCTTAGATGAATTAAAGTAAAACTTTTGGACATGTCCAGTTATCTACGCCAAACTTTTCTGTTAGTAGAAGAGAAATTGTTCAGATTTGCACAAGACAAAAGCAGTTACGTGGAGAGGTCTTTATTTTACTCGGAAAACATATGTCATATTTAAATTTGCATTATATTTAAACTTTTCACGTTATTTGTAGAATTTGCTGGTGATTTCCTCTATTCATCCGTTGTATTTTTCCATCCTCTTAGATGAGGACGATACGGACAAAGGAGCTTCCCCTGAACCAGAGCTGATTCTCAGAGATTACCAGATGGAGGTTGCAAAACCAGCACTGAATGGGGAGAACGTTATAATATGTCTCCCTACAGGCAGTGGTAAAACCAGAGTGGCTGTTTACATTACCAAAGATCATTTGGATAAGAAGAAAAGAGCATCAGAGCCTGGAAAAGTTATAGTACTTGTGAATAAGGTATCCTGTGCCATTATAACAGGAATAGCAGATTAAAGCTTTTTACATTATTATAGAAATGTGTGGCTGGAAGGGACCTTGAGAAATCATCTAGTCCAGTCCCTGAGCTGAGGCAGGGCCAAGTATACCATGTTAATATCGATCTTTTAAATTGAGCACAAATCATAATGCTAATAAACTCTTTGAATCGAGCTATGTTTAAGAGGACACTGATCCAGATTCTGATGTCCATTACGCTGGTGTAAATCCAAAGGATTCCCATTTACATCAGTACAACTGAGAAGCTAATCTGCCCTATCAATTATATAGAGAAAAAAAATTACCGTTATCTGTGTTACTAAGAACAGTTTAGATGATTAAAATTGAAAATATTATTTAAAAAATATCAAAATGTCTGTTTCATCATTATGATATTTTATACCTGAGTTTGATAATGAAGGCCATCTCCTGGATTTTGCTTTTCTTTGTAGCAATTTTTAGCCTGTTTTGCTGAGTGGTTCTGTTGAGGAAGAACAAGTTTAAGTTTACAGCACTGCAATGGAATGTGTAAATTCAAACTGTTCTCACTGACATTTTAAAATACTATACAAATATTTCTGTTCCCATTAGAATTGTGTAAATAAACAAAAAAGTACAGCCTATATACCCTTAACTTAAAAAATATTTAAATTGTCAGTGTGTCTTTAAGATCTATTTGTTAAAATATTTTTCTAGAGTTTAATAAAATATCTGTATTAAAATTTTTGGTGGATAGATTTTTTTTTACCGCATTATAAGGGGCATAAAAGGGGGGTGGGAAACATGCCCCTAAATAACTAATTAATGAAACCTTTGGAAGATTTTTCATTCCTGATGTAAAAATCCAGTAAACCCACTCTCATAAAAATATAGTACAGTCCTTAGTACAGTACTTTGCCATTGGGCATTTTCCACTGTCTCTGTAGCACAAAATACCCAAGGTCTGTAGTATTATAGGCATTAATAATTCTGTCTAGATTGGGGTATATTCTCCTCACTGTGCGTGTACTCTGTATTCTGTTAATGCCAATGGGTATTTTGTGTGCTTAGAGAAGAAATTTACCCCAAAATATGTAGTAAAAGTATGGGTGTATCCGGTGTGACAAGCTCATATAAAAGGCCAGGGGATACTGTTACAGAATAAATACTGGTTTACACAGAATAGAAGTTTTTTAGCTAACAATCATTTGATGTATGATATGCATTTAATAGAATTAATTCTGCGTGTCCTGTGTAGTTCAAATTCTTCTCTGGAAACTTTTATTCAGGTACCATTAGTGGAGCAGCATTTCAGAAAAGAGTTCAACCCATTCCTGAAGTGCTGGTATCAGGTTACTGGATTAAGTGGTGATTCTCAGCTGAAAATCTCATTTCCTGAAGTTGTAAGAAAAAATGATGTCATTATCAGTACTGCCCAGATCCTTGAGAATTCACTGCTGAATGCAACCACAGAAGATGATGAGGAAGGTGTCCAGTTATCAGGCAAGTTTTTCACTCTAGGTTTTCTTTTGGGGACTTAACATGTGGTTCCTTTCCAGAGTGTCAGTGTGAAAAAGGCATGGTGGGGTTCCATGTTCATTGTTTCTCACTGCTGTTTTTCTAATTACTAACCTGGCAAACTCAACCTGGGCTGTGAGAGTCAAGATGGATTCTTGTCCTCTTGTGCACCATCACCAGGAATAAAAATTTTGGCAGCCAAATTAGACAGAGTGATACCTTTGCATCTCCATTCCCTTCAATGTGTTTGCCAAAGTGAACTGACTGGAATAACAATTCTGTGGATGATACAAAAGGGAATAGAATCCAGCTGACGAAATTTTAGCTGTATTGATCCATTAGCAATGATGGGCAAAAAACAGTAAGAACTTTATTTTAGTTAAGTAGATATGACTGAATACAGAATAGGAACCACTTTTTTTTGAGTGTTAAGATATCGTTTTTACATAGTCACTTTTCAAAGCCAAATTGTACTTGAGTCCTTATCTGTTATATTCCTTTACACACACACACACACACACACATATACACACACACACACACACAAGAAATGGGATTGCTCCACATCACAACTCTGTGAGGTGGGCAACTATAACAATATCCCATTGTTGGAGAAACAAAGGTCCACAGAAGTTAAGCTACTTGCCCAAATTAATAGATGGATCTGTGTGGGGAATGGGAAGGAATTCTCCTATTTCCCAGCAATAGACCAGCCGTGGAGCTACAGCAAGGGCCTGACTCTATTGACTTTAGTGGGGCCACGATTTCACCCAAGCTGTGGATCCTGCCACATGTGTTATACCAATAAAATAAAAATCAGCAGGATCTTATTAAAGGGAAAAAGGCAAAATACCACATTTATTGTGAATACAGAAAGAATCATAGTAAGCAGTTAGTTATAGCTATAACATTCCATTCAATCTCATATTTATTCACACACACACACACACAGGTTCTGCAAGGTTGTTATCATAGTTACCAGCCTTAGAGTTGCTCATGCCAAGCCACTGGCCAGGTGGCCTGGACATGAGGAGGGAGCAGGGCCTTATCAGATGCTCATCTGATGCTCCTGGAAGTTGGTTTGCAGAATCAGACCCCAAAGTTCTCACTTTCTAGAGTCCATTTTTATAGGAATTTCTTCCTATGCCAGTCTATGGGAATTGCTTCATCATGCTGTTGCTGAATCAATCAGCAGATAGCACATTCCTGATGGCTCTGTGCTGCTAGATGTTATCTTGTTCTTTGGTTCTCCCATTCTTGAGGCTGTTGGGTGGATTCCAGTCTGCCCTCCGGGGGGGGGGGGGGTGTCCTCTGGTTATTTCCACTTGACGACGCCTTCAGCCGATGGACACTGGATTCTTAGGCTGGCACCTCCCTGATCATTCAGTTATTATCCACACCAAGCATCCATCCACATACATCCTCTATCTCTATTTTAATCACAATTGTTAATACAACAAAAGGGTGGGGAGTCTCTGGGTGCTGTTTCTGTTGTTACGGAGTATTGCTTTTGAGTCTCTCTCTGTGTGAATTGCTTTGAGAACAGACTCTGTCTTAGAATGTACTAACGCAATTAGCAGCTTGCAAGTCTCACACACAAAGGGAGAGAAACAGTACCAAAAACCAAGAGACCTCTTAATTAGTAATACCCTGGAATTTAAACTATGGGGAATCAAACTCATTTGTGATTTTAATACAGAACTTCTTTAATATGATCCAACACATGTAGTCTCCAAATCATGTGCCCCATTTCCATGCACCTATTCTGGTAGGCTAGGCCCCTCTGAATAACAACAGTAATGTCCTCCAAAATATACAGGTTCCAAGTGGAAGGGCAAAATAGGTATTATAAGAATCCAATTCAGGAGACTCTGAGAACCTGCTGGTACTATAGGAATAGTCCTGCAATACTTAGGGACAAAGCAGAATGGGCTGTCCATGAGCCCATTCTGACCTACTGGGCACTGTGTGAGGACATACACATCTCCTCAGTGAATATATAGAATCATAGAATATCAGGGTTGGAAGGGACCCCAGAAGGTCATCTAGTCCAACCCCCTGCTCAAAGCAGGACCAATTCCCAGTTAAATCATCCCAGCCAGGGCTTTGTCAAGCCTGACCTTAAAAACCTCTAAGGAAGGAGATTCTACCACCTCCCTAGGTAACGCATTCCAGTGTTTCACCACCCTGTGATTTTAAAATAGTACAGAGCATCCTTGACACAGTCCCTTTTCTAACGGTAGAGTACTTCATGCTTCTGCTCTGCATTTTTGTAGCAGCATTGCCAGTTACGGAGCACCCCTTCTTGGCCAGGGGTGCTTCTGCAGCACCTTCACTCTGTTTCCTCTCTTTTGGGTCCCCTGTGGAACTCCCCACAGCCTTTCTCAGGACTTCCACCAACCCCTTCCTGGGGCTGAGTTAATAGCCAAAAGCAGTTCAAATGGTCTTCATTGTCTCAAATATAAAGTTCATTACAGCAACATAAAAGTTCATACTCCTCTCCAGTTATTCTGCCACAGGTGGAACTCTTACCCTGCCCCAGACTGTTTTTCTTGGAGCTGCCGATCATGTACTTCCTAGTGGGAGCTCAGCATTCGGGTCTGGCTTCCTTCTCCATGGTGGTGCATTCTCTGTTCTGAAGGAGAAGGCAGCATATGTACTGCCCTTCTTCAGAGAGCTTCCCCCCGATTTCCTGGAGAGAAAGGAGCCCTGCCCCACCCTACATTACAGGGCTTCTGGTCCCTGCCTTTTTTTATTCCAAAGTCTCTGGAACAGGGTCTTCCAGCCACCTCTGGTCTTGAAAAACAAGCAAACAATATCTAATTATCCTCAGTTTCCCCAATTACAAGACACTGGTGACGATACAGTAACTTAACATTTCTGTATTCTTTCCAGTGTATTTCTTCTGTATATAGCTTTCCCTCCTCCCCCCCCCCTTTTTTTTTTTTTTTTTAAGGGGAAAAAACCTCTGTCTGCTTAGACTGTGAGCTTCTTGGGCAAGGCCATCCATTCCTGAATGTCTGGAAGGCATTTAACACATCATAGGTGCTCCCATAAATAAATAATAAAGCACAGTTTGTTGAACACATGGTTAAAAAAGTGTGTTTCTGGGGTTCATTCTTGCAACAACAAAAGGCAGTTTATATAATGTAAAAAAAATATTTTGCACTTTAATAGTGCTGTTTCAAACAGATTTCAAAGCACTTTACAATAAATACATAAACACAACCCTCCAGGGATATTGCATGAAATTTACTTTCTTTTAAAGCAGATATATTTTAGATCCCAAACAGATTGACAGGTCCCTCTTCATTAGTGGCATGGTATCCTTTGCTGTAAGAGGATTGATTTACTCCAGTACTGCATTCAAAGGAAATCTTAACTATTTTGTACTGGATGTGTTTTCCAGACTTTTCTCTCATTATTATTGATGAATGTCATCACACCCAGAAGGAAGGCGTCTATAACAATATAATGCGACGTTATTTAAAAGAAAAGATGAAAAACAATAAATTCAGAAAAGAAAACAAACCCCTGATTCCACAGCCTCAGATCCTGGGACTAACTGCTTCACCTGGCGTGGGAGGGGCAAGAACTCCTCAGAAAGCTGAAGAACATATTCTGAAAGTAAGTAGCCCTTAAAGCTGCAAATCACCAAGAGGCTATTATCTTATTCAAGCAAAATTCCTACTGTAGTCAGTATTTTGCTCTAAATGAATCCCCTAATTTTTGGTGGGTACGTAGGCCTGATTCTGTAAACCTCATAAGTAAGTTGTCCCTTTGAAGTTAGTGAAATCATTTGCCTGAGTAAGGATTTGCAGGATCTGGTAAATAGATAGGATTGGCTTCACTTTATTATTAGAAACCTACAGATCCCATCAGTGCTCTGAAAATTGGAGAGTACTGTCATGTCCTGTAGGAACATGTTGTTTATTAGATGCGTTTTTTAGAGCTGCTGAGGCATACATTTGGGTGGGTTGAAGAAGGTGGGAAACAATCCAGTAATACTTAAACAGGCAGAAATTGTTATGTGAATAGAACAATAAGCAAGCAAAGGTGTAAATTTCTAACAATTAGAACTTCTAATTAGGTAGGAAGAATGGGGAATTTGCATAAGATGATTCTGGAGACAATGGCCAACTTCTGCTCTTATTTACACATCTGTAAATCCTGTGTAACTCTATTTTAAATGGACTCCATTGGAATTATATTGGTGAAACAAAATGCAGAATTTTGCCCAATGCCTGAGTGCAATATCTAGGCGAGCCAATTACTGTTGAATAGGCATATCCTATAAGAAGCAGCTGTGTTGTCTCAAGCCAGTTAGAGTAGGAAGAATTATGAGGTACTTTTTAAAAATACATCCACTTGATATCTTGGAGAAAACCAGAAAAAACTATATTCATCATCTGTATTGAAAACTTAATAAATAGGATGTTTGTTTTTGGTTTAATTTTTGTTGAAGAAATATTGCAATTCAGATTTCTAGACTCTTGCAAATAGATTGCTACTGCTGATGTCATTTACCCTTTGTTTTCTACATTCATGAAGATATAAATGTTTCCATTTATCGTCACTGAGATTAATATAATAGAGAGAAAATATTTTCTTACTGAAAATCTCAAAAGTGAAAAAAAAAATCTCTGTCTGTGCAGTTAACAGGCAAATGTCTACATGTTTCATGTTCCAAAAAGGTCCAGGTTCAGCTGTGTCTTTTATAATTACACTCTGCAACCCAATTTCCTATATTTCACTTTATTATCCTACGTGTATCCAAAGTCTTTTTGATCTTGATTTTTCATGTCTAAATCTTGATGTACTTTTTTTTTCCTCATCTCAAATGCCCATTTCGCAATCTAAGCTGATAGTTACATTTGTTTGCTTTTTGTTTGTTTCCTCTGCACAGGAAGGCTCATCTTTGATTTACGCTGTGGCTCAATTAGCTTATCTCGGATGCTTTTCACACGTATCTTTACATTTTGCACAACTATATAGGGTACCTAGGATGTGCACACTGCCTTTCTACGGAAGAACTTAAATTAGATCAGATACCATGTTAAAACGTGTATATAAATAAAGAAGGCACAGTATACTCATCCAACTCTTTATGTAGAATAACTCATAAAATATATGAAAAGTAAAACAAAAATCTTTCTCCTTCCAGATTTGTGCTAATCTTGATGCATATAGACTCATGACTGTTGAAGAACATGTCCCCCAACTGAAAGATCAGGTGAAGGAACCACGTAAGAAGTTTGTGATTGCAGATGACAAAAGAAGGGTATGATGTTTTTGTTTTTTGTTTTTGCAAAATCTAAGCAGAAAAGTACATTCATCTTTAAAGAGGTATTGATAAAGGTTAAGAGTCAAGGTTTTTTAGGCCAATATTATTGCCCTGTAGGTTGATAGTGATCCACAGTATTTCTACTCATCCAACAATAAATGAACTCTTTGGAAAAAGAAACAAAATTTATATATGTTGAAATTAATGACACACTGTATTTCTGTAGATAAATGTCAAGTTGAATGTAAAATTTTTCTTTCCTTTTCAAAAGGGCTTTGGTTGCTCCTATATTTTTGAGATAACACAGAAAGAATATTATTAATTTTGGGTCATAGTTAAAGTTGTGTTTTGAGGAAATTTGCATTACTTTATACTCATTAGAAATGTATTATGTGAACAGTATAATATTTATGATGTCCTTAGCTATTCATTTCCTTGGCTTTAAGTGTTTAGATAAGCAAGTACCTTCAGCAATCTTAATTGTTTTCTGAAACAAATTTTTGTTTTAGGAATTTCCTGTAGACAATATTAAACTGAAAAGGTCAGTTCATTTTTGTTGCTGACAGAATAACGATTGTAAGTTTAATTACTTTTTATCCATGTGCTTTTAGGATCCCTTTAGAGAGAAAATTACAGAAATCATGACAGAGATTCAAAATTATTGTCACCTCAACCCAACATTTGAATTTGGAACTCAGCCCTATGAACAGTGGGCAGTTAAAGAGGAGAAAAAAGGTATTAAAAATACTTTAACATAAATGCATCATGATTTTGGACTTTGAGGGGTGTTTTAACCATCTGTGTGTGCAGCCATACAAACAGACACAGATACAGATGTGTATATATATGTTCTGTTTTTAGCTGCAAAAGAAGAAAACCGTAAAGAACGTGCTTGCGCAGAGCATTTAAAGAAATATAATGATGCCCTGCAAATTAATGACACTATCCGAATGATCGATGCATACAACCACCTCAATAACTTCTATAAGGAGGAGAAAAGCAAGAAAACAACAGTAAATGAAGATGATTCTGATGAACCAGTAGCATCAAAACTAGATGAAACAGATAAGTTTCTGATAAAGTTATTTTACGGTGAGCATGCAATATACGGTGATACTTAGTAAAATCTGAAATCCATGCAGCTGACTAGTATACACTGCTGACATTGTAATATGTGATTTGCATGGGTACTTATTAGTTCATAGACACTTTTATGGGATTCAGTGCTATAGGGTTTGTATGTCACAGTATACTGTATAAAATATATTAAACACCCTGTCAGCATCATATGATATTTTCATGTCCAATGGTATAGTCCGTTATACGAAAATATATTCTCATATTCAAGATTTTGCATATTTCTAATACAAGCTCAGGAGATCATTTACTGCATATCAACCAGAGTCTGTCAGGTACTTGAAGTTTCTGGGGATTGATAATTGTGAAACATACAGTCTCTCATGTCTAGGTCACTGGTGTGAATCCAGTCTAGGTTGATGACTGAAACTTATTGCTGTCAGATGGTGGTTTGATGGGCTATGCGAGGTTCTTCATCCATAATCATTAAATCCTCTGCCCTTCTTCTCAGGCTGCCAACAAGAACAACAGTGATTGCTAATTGTAGGGGTGGTTCTGTCATGTGGATAGTTGTTTGGTAGTCTCGGCCTGTTGCAGCTAGACTAACATTTTTTAGTGCAATAAATAAGGCAAGCTATGCTTCTGATTTGTTATGGCTCTTTGAATTCAAACCATTGTGCCAAAAAAACCACACACCGTATTTTTACTTTTCATTCAGAGGAGAAAGTTCTGATTATTGTTAATATAATTACCATAGACCTCACTGGGAACAGGATCAGACCAACTGAAAATTTGGACCAAATCCTAGTTGCCTTCTAGAATTTAGAAGTATGTGTTGTGTTGTGTTCTTTGTTGCTATAAATACAAACCCTCTGTGCCTCCACCACCACATATGCACACGTCATAGAAAGCCAGGAAAAATGGCTTCCCAATAGAAATGGCTTTTTACAAAACATACAGTGTACTGGAAATCTGGGGGATATTCTACAGAGAAAGGGCCCTGTCAAATTAGGTCCCAAAATTTAGGTTTTGTGAAACCACGCTGCAAAGCCAAACTTACAAATATTTATTGTAAAATGTTTAATAGCATCTAAAATATGCCTGGTCCTTACAGAATATAGATAACAAACGTTATTGTAGATAAGCCTCAAAGAGATAATAGGCACAATAGTCACAGTAGAAATGTTTGATATATATTTTTTTAAACTTCCAATGGAGGAAGGGTTATATTTAAAGGAAATCCCTTCAAATGTTTGCAGCCTGAACATGTCAACATCGGGTTAATATCTGAGAATTAGAAAGTTAAACGGCTCAGAAAGTAAAACTTAGTAGACTAGCCTATTTTTCATTGCCAAAAGTGAATGAAATTCAAAGAGCATAACGAGGGAACAGTAAATTAAAAATCTATTCCATTTTATTACGGAAGGTGGCATTAGTGACACTGGGAATGAAATTTATGTTTACATTAATTTTTCTCTGTTGTTTAAGACACAGGATTGCCTATGGGAGGTGGTCCTTACTGTAGATTTCACTGTGTAATGGTTTTAACTAATTAGAGGGACAAAAGAAACTTGTCATACCTCCAATATTTGATTACATTCTAAGACAGTATTAATAAGTCTCATTCCCTCAAAGAAGCACATTATGTGTGATGGAATTCACTATACGCTCGTCCCATCCTATGGCAAACATATCGTGTAATGACAAGTCTAAGTTCATTCAGCTGAAACTGTACCTAACATACTTTGCATTCCTCTGTAAGGCACTGAACGCATAATGTTTTTTTCAGACAATAAGCCAAACCTCGCGCTTCGTACATGCAATGGAAATTGTCCGTGCAGGGCATCCTTACAAGAGTGCCTCAGTGGGCATGGCCTCTGTCCTCTCAAAGCCACCACCCCACAAATGCACTCCAGTTGTAAGGTCCCGTGTGTCTTGATGTAGGGATTTTTAACATAAAGCCTGCCAACACTTCTCAAGCTGTTTGGTAGATTAGTACAAGGGTTAAGTGTTGTTTATACTTGACACCCAAAAAATGTTGTAACATAAAGTAGTTTGTAAGGTAAATTGCTGTGTCCCAGCCCTTCATACTGTGGTGTGAATTAGCTTGAATGGGAGAAATATAAACTCTCTCTGCTTTTTTACTTTTCTAAAGCATTTATTTACATGATGGCATCTTGTTCATTTTATATTTATTTTTACAGCAAAAAAGAAACAGCTGAAAGAGTTGGCTGGAAAGCCGGAATATGAAAATGAGAAGCTGACACAGTTGCGAAACACCTTAATGGAGGAGTTCACAAAGACTGATGAAGCTAGGGGAATTATCTTCACAAAGACTCGGCAAAGTGCATTTGCCCTTTTTCAGTGGATTAAGGACAACACAAAATTTGAAGAAGCAGGAATTAAAGCTCACTACCTTATTGGAGCTGGTCATAACAGTGAATTTAAACCCATGACTCAGGTAACTAGAACAGAAAATGTAATTATAGGAGTGATGTTAAAAATGTGTTTACATTTAAAGGAGGCAGCTTGTCTTAATTGTTAGAGCAGAGGACTGGAAGTCAGGAGACCTGAATTCTAGTCCCATGTCTGTGTCTGACTTCGTGCGATCTTGTTCAAATCACCTACCTGCTTTGTGACTCATTTCTCCATCTGAAGAGTGGGAGCACTCATAGCTACCCTTTGTAAAGCACTTTGAGAGGCTTAGTTGAAAAGCATTACATAAGTACAAAGTCTATTCATATTTTAAAATACATTTGTTGAAAACTAGGCCACCCCTCCCTCACTTATGAGCTGAGTCCTGAGATCAGAATTCTGAGCTGTCTTCACTGACAAAAAAGGGGTGTTGTTACCATGTTACAACTAACACTCCATTAGCTATCATGCAGTACAAATATAGTGGAGACAAGGCACTGTAGCCAAGGACGGCAGAAGGTATAGTGCTGATCTTGCTACCTCCTGGTGTAAATTCCAAGTGCCTGGTCTCCTCTTAATTAACTCACTCTAAAATTCTATCATGCATTAGTTATCTCATAACAAAACACCTTTGTGTCAGTGAAGACAAGGCCCACAGTTCCCCTAGAAGAGATGATCTTACAAAGGTCAAACGAGCAGGGATTGTTGGGAATTCATGGAAGAACCCAGAACTCTGTGTTAAGGGTCCCTACTGCAAACACCACCAAGAGCAGCAGTTAATGGTGCTACTCACAGCAATGAGAACTATCCCCAAATGTGTTCAAAGGATTGGGCTCACAGTAAGTAAGGTAGATTTCAAATAATGGGCAGAATTCCACTTGGCTGACATTCAGTACAAGCCCACTGACATCAATGAACTGACTTCTGTCATTTGTTACATCTGTACATACCCTTGCATTCAGTGGGGCAACCTGGGCAGGACAGACCTGGGCCCTTTATATATATTCTGGCACTAAAGTGGAATATTAAACTAATTTTTGTAAGATACAATTTATTCTTTAAAATTGTATTTTAAGAGACAAAAATAATACCTATTGTCATATTTAGTATTAAATTGAAAACAAAAGAGTTGTAATGTTATTGACCTCTGTCTGTTCCTTGTATTGCTGTTTATTTAATTTGCATAGGCCCATATGCTTCACACCATGTCTGGATAATTATTGAATGAGAAATTGCCAAAATTCACAATGAATATTATTCACAATGAATCACTCAGTTTGGTTTACTTCGTGCTATTCTGTTTGTTGACTGTGCTTTCTTTGTGACTTTCTGCAGCCAAAAATTATTCAGATTTCAAAAATGAATGTTCTAATTGCCTAAATTTTCCCCTTGTATTCCTGTTCTAGCTCCCAATGAGACTGTCATTTCAGCACTTTAAAAAAAAAAGTGTGGTTTACATGCTAGACAGAACCAATTTACATCAGGGTTTCTCAGTTTAAAAATATGTTAGGAATTGTTCCCTCAGAGACATGATTCTGGTTTATATGAAGATTTTTTCAATATGGTATAATGATAAAAGAGCAAACAGCTTTTCTTTGAAAGCCTCTAGATTCTAAAGTTGAACAGAGCACGTAGAAAGATTTCAAAAGATGTCACATGTCCTTGTACACAAGATCGTTTTGTTCTAAAAGCCTGATCAGTGCTCCAGTGTTTTCATTGCCAGGTCATTATGCTGTTTATCTAAAGAGGAAAATTTTACATTAAAATGTTATAAATCTGATAGGGAAATTAAAAAAGCCTTTTGGGCCTGATTATGGAGGTGCTGAGCCCAATCACTCCAGTTGAAATCAGCGATGGTGGCAGATGTTCACAGCACCTCTGAAAATCAGGACCTTATGTTTTTTTCTGTCAGTGCTGCTGTTAATGACAGAAAAAGAACCGGTATTGTCCAACCCCTCTGACACCTAGTTCACTAGCATTATAGGGTGAAATTTTCCACATTTGGGCACTTAATATTAGGTGCTTAAATAAAAGTGACCTGATTTTTTTTTTCAAACTGTGCATCTACAGTACCCATTTAAGTCAGTGGTGTAGTTTCTTATCCCCTTAAAAATGCATAAATATGGTGCCTAATATTAAGTGCCCAAGTTTTCAAACTTTGGCCATAATTCACTGAACTTTTTAAAGAAAGGAAAGGGTGACTAGTTTTACTTTCTGGAAGTTAACACTGAAAGTTAATATATTGAATCGAATTCATGGAATTGTTTTTACAGAATGAACAAAGGGAAATCATCAGTAAATTTCGTGCTGGGAAAGTCAACCTACTTATTGCTACTACTGTGGCTGAAGAAGGCCTGGATATCAAAGAGTGTAACATAGTTATCCGCTATGGTCTTGTCACCAATGAAATAGCTATGGTACAGGTATGTCAGTTTACAACATGAGTCTTTTTTTTTTTAATATGGTTTGTATTTTGGGGTGTGTTTTTGTTGTGGTTTTAAATAAGGTCACCATTTCTCATTGTCGTGTCTAAAAAACAAAACAACTTTTTTCTCTGAAGAGGAAGATTGGAGGTGATACACAGGAGCTATGCGCTCTCTGACAGTTGTTTTCAGATGATGATTTTTAGAATTGTACATATCCTATTTGGAGCAAATCTTGGGACCCTTATGGACTAAGGGGAAGGTGCTTAGAGAGGTGTTCTACACAGTTTTATACTAAGGCCATTTCCATGAATCACCCACTGTCTGTGCACAATGTGACGTTCACCCAGGTGCGAAGTGCCTGGTCAAAGCTCTTCACAATATTTAAGATCTGTGGTGGCCCTTCCTGAAGATAGGAGGGAGGATGGGCAGAGAAAACATGAAGGGCTGGCCTTTGCTCCCTTGTACCATGTTGGAGAAGGAGCTCCAGAAGGAGAAGTGTACCGCCTGCTTCTGTTGATTTAATGAGCTTTCATTCTAACTCTCCCCCCCCCACCACCCCCTGCAAAGATAAATGACAAAGGATTTTTAGTGGAAAAAAATTCCAAATCGTTCACTGACAATATTATTTATTTGTATTGCATCGGAACCTGGAGGCCCCAGCCCTGGTGTGCTAGACACAGTACAAATAGATAACAAAAGACACCCTTGCTCAGAAAAGTTTACAATCCAAGTAATTAACAGAATATAGTATTGTGAAGGCATTTGCCATGGTAAATATCACATGCAAAGGAACACTTACATCCCAAAATGCCACTGTGTCAATGCTAGAATTTTATGTGTGAACTAATATGGGGTTTGTGTGTGCAGCACTTTATGGGGTTTTTTTGGGCTCTAAGCTTTTGTCTCATGATCCCTTTAGCACCATATCTCCTTAACAGCCACATGCTAGGTGTTTTATCTTTAATGGCCCTACAGAAGCAGCCCAGAGTATTAGAATGCTGTTTATCCAAGAGCCAGATGAATAATCTTTAACTGCAGATATACTGCACAGGGATTCTTATTCTCTTAACTTCAAGTAAGAAACACTGAACATCTTTAGTTACATGAATATGGCCGCGCAGGATTTCTAACCTATGTTTCTTGCAAACTGCAGGCCCGGGGCCGAGCTCGAGCTGATGAGAGCACCTATGTACTGGTGGCATCAGGTGGATCGGGAGCTGTTGAACGTGAAAATGTTAATATATTTCGTGAGAAAATGATGTATAAAGCTATTCAACGTGTCCAAAGGATGAGACAGGAGGAGTATTTAAATAAGGTATTGCCTCTGACTCCTACTTTGTCTTATAAAGAGAAACAGGTCTGTTTCTCAAAGACTGAAAGGAACGCGTCAACACAAAATCTTATTAAAAAAAAAAAAAGTTAAATGTAGTGTCTGGTACTACAGTTGCCCCCAATTCCTCATGCCAGTAGTTATTGTTTTACAGTCACATTGACCTGTTTTTAAAAGAACATTTTCTCTTTCCTGTTTATGATGTTAGAAAAACACACATAAACTAGGTGTAACTGACTCTGAACAAAGTAAAGTAACTGAAAATTTGGAGAAAAATACTGTTCTCAAATCTCTGTGACAGTCATTTTAGGAGTTACTTTTAACAAGAAGAGCCAGACATAAATTGTTGGGCAAAAGAGTGATTTTTAAAGTTGACTGTGTCCTTTTAACTGTTTCCATTTCCAGAATCTGTATTCATTGCAAGTGTCTGGAATTTTGGAAGTAAACTTGGAAATAAATCTTTCCGTTCCATAGCTCTGCTGTTGTAGCTTCAGCAGAATATGACAGTGTTGTTGTTTTTTCTGCTTCTAGATTCAGGGTTTTCAGATGCAAAGTATAATGGAAAAAAAAATGAAGGCAAAGAGAGATCAGCTTAAGACTTACAAGGAAAATCCATCACTAATAACTTTCCTTTGCAAAAATTGCCACAAACTGAAATGTTCTGGGGAAGACATACAAGTTATAGAAAACATGCATCATGTCAATGTGAAAAAGGAGTTCCTGTAAGTGTTACCTAACTACTTGTTCTCTTTGAGGAAGGAACCTGTTTTACTGTCAGTATGTCTGCAAAGAGCCCTTGACATTGTGGCTGCTATAAAATAAAATATCAAAGTATTTTGGGGGATATGTCAACCAAATTCTGGCTAATAAGAAATGGAGGACTCAATCCTCAGCTACGTAAGGTTTTGGTGCAGCTGAGGAGGTGGTAGGGCATGGTGGCCCTAAGCTGAATAGAGGATGAAATATCAATAAATGAAAAAGATTAGGTTCCAGTTGCAATATTGACTAATTCACTTTGTATAGACTGTATGTTATTAACAATCCAACCAGTAACCGAAAATGCTAAGGATGTGCAATGTTGCAAACTGCCATACAGGCTGTTTATATTTCCTTTTGTTTTCTGTTTAGCAGGTTTTTTTATATTAAACTTGCAACTTTAATGTTAAGCTAACTTTTAACTTCTGTGCATCTTCAACAGATAGAGAAGCGAAAAAATAGAGGGAAAAAGACTGTGTGGCCCTCGGGAGTTGTGCAGTTATTTTTGCAGTCCATTTTAAACATCATGGCTTTACAGATTGAAGACAATAAAATAGCCATGGTACTATGCAGATATATAACTATAGCTGTAACACTGTAGTTGCTGAGCTCTGTAATACCATAAGGGGAAACTAACCCATTATAAAGGGGCCTACACAAGGCCCTATACGCTAGTCAAACCCTGCTTAAACCCTTAGTGTTGGGTGAGGAACAGTAATCCTAGGATGTTGCATGGGCATGTGGTGTGTGTTGGGGTAAATTTCACCCACTGATCATAATGTAACTGAAATACTGTTAGAAATGTCTTGCTGCACAAAAGAAATTGTACTTGCTTACAGTGGAGCGTGGGCGTGTGTTTTATTTCCAATTTGCCAATCAATCAATTATTCTTCACTGTGAACTAGCTATATATCAGACTCCTCCCAACCCTTGAGCACTCCCCCAAAAGTTTCTTTTGGTTGAGACCACTTGCTGAAGGTTTCAGTCTAGGAGAACATTTGAGAATGTTTATGAGAAAGTGAAAATGGGGAGTTAGAGAAAAGTTGAGCAGCAGCTTTAAATATTAGTTTCTATGGTAGCACAATGATAAGGAGTCCCCATAAAGGGCTCAGTAAGCAGCATACCAACCTTGTTAGCATAGTGTTGGCAGCTGCCTACCCAAGCACTAGATTAGTAATTCTTTTAACACTTTCACATAGCCGAGGAACTCTAAACATCAAGCGTTCAGTAGAATAACTAGCAGAATGAAGTACATGCACTCTGTAGCTTTGTATTTTCAGAACCAGGCACAGCTCCACATTGAGAGGAAATACAGAAGCAGAAGCACCCACTCCCACAAACTATTTCTCCCAAAGCTCCATGGCACATAGAGTGAGCCAGCTGCACCACCACGTCTGAGGGTGCAGCATGCTCTCCTTTCTAAGGAGGGTGAGCTCTGATAGCCAGTGAGTAGAGAAGGGAGGGTCAGTTATGTCACCATTTCTCCCCATCTCCTAAGTAGGAGCTACTAGAGAGTAGCTTTCAGAGTAACAGCCGTGTTAGTCTGTATTCGCTAAAAGAAAAGGAGTACTTGTGGCACCTTAGAGACTAACCAATTTATTTGAGCATAAGCTTTCATGAGCTACAGCTCACTAATGCATCCGATGAAGTGAGCTGTAGCTCACGAAAGCTTATGCTCAAATAAATTGGTTAGTCTCTATGGTGCCACAAGTACTCCTTTTCTTTTAGAGAGTAGCTTCTACACTCAGAGGTGCATACAGAGTGCAGTTGTCATTGTCTTGCCCTTGCATTGTCTTGTACACACACAAGGGTCAGACAGAGTTTATGGCCATTTTACACCCACATCTTACTTCAGCAGTTATGTTCTCAGTGAACTGTATTTAAGGCCATCTCTGCTGTAAAAAGGATAATGCAATCTGATTAATCTTTCCTGTCCATTTTCAGGGACCTTTACAGCATAAGAGAAAATAAAACACTGCAAGAAAAACATGCCGATTACCAAACAAATGGTGAAATTATGTGCAAAGACTGTGGGCAAGTAAGTGTGTTCCCTTTTTCTATTTTGTGCCAACATATTTCTGTCTGATTACACTGAATATTTTAACTGAAATATAACCTTCCTTACATTTTTCAGGCTTGGGGAAATATGATGGTGCACCGAGGTGTAGACCTGCCTTGCTTAAAGATCAGAAATTTTGTAGTTGTATTCAAGGATAAGAAAACCTCAAACAAAATTTTCAAAAAATGGGGAGAGCTGCCAATCAAGTTCCCTGTCTTTGACTATGCAGAGCATTATGTTTCCAGTGACGAAGATTAAGGATTTGTTCAAGAATGTAAAGAAATGCAAATATTCAGCATTATTTTGACTGCTATGATCAGACTCCTCTTTTGCATACAGAAGGCCAAATTTTGTATCCTGCAGACTGTGGAAGGCCTTGAATGCAGTAAAACTACTGTGTGGGAAGAAGAAGGACATGGAGAGGAGAGAGGACTATGCTGTCTGGCAGCTGTTTACGCTCCAGCATGCAGGTTTGGGATGGGTTGAGGAAAAAGAAGACTTTGTGGAGCCAGGCTTAGTGTGGATCTACAGAACAAACCTACTCTTACCTACACAGCAGCATCCAATCAATTATCAAGGTCTCCCTTATATTTTTTTAATTGCAACTGTCATTTTTTATTATTGTAATGAGTGCCTTTCGCTTGCTGAGACTTTCTTCAGATATTTTGGGGCTCTTATCTCAGACACTTTTAAAAAAATAACTTGATTGTAGTTCAAATGTGCAGAAAGCAGGGATTGGGAATCAGTTTTTGGTGACACAGCAGCAGAAGTGGAGTACAGGGTATGCAAGCATTATCCCAGTGCAAGAGTTGGTGAGGGCCACCAACTCCTAGCAGCGGTCTAAGCTGGTCATTTTCCACACGTCCTTCCCCATGCTCACATTGCTATTACTCAGAAGCACAGATGACCTTGCTGTCTCCACTTCTGCACTATGTTCTGAAAGAGGAGGCCAGTGAGGGGAGTAGATTTACCTAGTGTTGTCTCCCAGAATGCTCTGCTTCTCTTCCTTTATGCCATCAGCTGGTGACTTCCAAATGTGTTACGTAGTCAGACTAAAACTAAACTACCATTAAAATATGGTTTGAAAAATCACTGTATTTAAACCCATTTAAATATCCAGCCTCTCAAATTCGAGAACTTCAGTGACAAATACAAACTTTACCTGTGCAGTAACATGAGAAGACTGTGTAAAATGTTGGAGATAAAATAACGTAGCCCGTTAATAAATAATCTCTGTAAACTGTGATACATCTTATTTCCTAAAAAGAAAAGGAGTACTTGTGGCACCTTAGAGACTAACCAATTTATTTGAGCATGAGCTTTCATGAGCTACAGCTCACTTCATCGGATGCATACCGTGGAAACTGCAGCAGACTTTATATACACACAGAGATCATAAAACAATACCTCCTCCCACCCCACTGTCCTGCTGGTAATAGCTTATCTAAAGTGATCATCAAGTTGGGCCATTTCCAGCACAAATCCAGGTTTTCTCACCCTCCACCCCCCCACACACAAACTCACTCTCCTGCTGGTAATAGCCCATCCAAAGTGACAACTCTCTACACAATGTGCATGATAATCAAGGTGGGCCATTTCCTGCACAAATCCAGGTTTTCTCACCCCCCCACCCCCATACACACACAAACTCACTCTCCTGCTGGTAATAGCTCATCCAAAGTGACCACTCTCCCTACAATGTGCATGGTAATCAAGGTGGGCCATGTCCAGCACAAATCCAGGCTTTCTCACCCCCCCCCCCCCCCCAGGGACACACACACACACAAACTCACTCTCCTGCTGGCAATAGCTCATCCAAACTGACCACTCTCCAAGTTTAAATCCAAGTTTAACCAGAACGTCTGGGGGCGGGGGGTGGGGTAGGAAAAAACAAGGGGAAATAGGCTACCTTGCATAATGACTTAGCCACTCCCAGTCTCTATTTAAGCCTAAATTAATAGTATCCAATTTGCAAATGAATTCCAATTCAGCAGTTTCTCGCTGGAGTCTGGATTTGAAGTTTTTTTGTTTTAAGATAGCGACCTTCATGTCTGTGATTGCATGACCAGAGAGATTGAAGTGTTCTCCGACTGGTTTATGAATGTTATAATTCTTGACATCTGATTTGTGTCCATTTATTTCATTTATTTATTTCCTGTCACCATTAGTGCATAGACATTCATATGCAGTAATTGTTGAAGCTTCTCTTCATGACATATTTTTTAAACATTTGGTGTGAAATCCTGGTCCTATTTGAAGTTGAGTTTTGCCAACTTCAATAGGGCCAGGATATCCACCCTTGCAATTCAAAGTGCAGCTCTGCTCTAAAAAGTGACTTCAAAAATGGCATCGTGTGGTTCCATATTTCTCTCATTGACCAATTACATATTTTTTCACCTTACACGTAAAAAAAGTGTGGGTTTTGTCTTGTCTTCCTAAATGTCAGCCTTTTAAACTCAACCTGGGATCTCTGAAAGTAAACCTGTGTTCTTTCTGGCTTGAGCATCATTGCTGGTAACCCTGACCCAAATGAGATCTGCAAAAGTGCAGCTGAGGTTTGCAACTCCAGGTGAAGATCCTGCAGTTGAAACATAGCTAAAAATTCTTTTTGCTTATGCACAAGACAGAAAGTAATCCAGCTCACTTTCTCATATGTATACCATCTTTATGTTGCTAACAGGAGTAAAAAGTAGTATGAACTTGTTTTTGTTATTAAAGAATCAGTGTCCACAAGGAGCAAATCTGTTGAGTTAGGACTTCCTACCACACTTTAGGCATATTAAATTAAATTGTTACATAAAAAAAACAGTAACATAAATTATGACTGGCAGAAAACAGTAGCTTAACACAGATATCAACAAACTGTGGTATGGAACAATGTTAAATTTTAATTTACCTATGTCAATGTCTATTCTGATAGGCTCATCTGAGGTCTATATTGTTTTATTTAAAGTCTTGCCTCATTCAGATAACTCATGGGAATGTCTGCTGATTGACTCAGGAGTCAATTTTAGTATTTGCTCTTTTAATTTCATTGTGCATTAAAATGTTAATATTTAAAAATACTACTAAACTAAATTTCATGATAGATATGGAGAAATATCCTGATATTTCTTTTGAAAACATTTAGATAGCATGTAATAATACCTGCCTACAGTGGTGCTGTGTTTCACTGAGCATCAAGTTTTTTATTCAAGATAAATGCTGAATTTGACTTCACCTCAATCATTCTCTCCCATATTTCAATTAAACTGGATGTTCTGCTCATCTGAAGTGATAGCTGCTCATTTTTAAATGAATAATAGGGTTATAAAAATAAATGTGTATTCTGATTATAAGTTTTCCACTACAGGAAGATTGTAGATTACAATGTGCATAAACTGTATAAATTGTGGCATGGGTAACTGAATAATTTAGACCTATAAATAACCCAATAAACTACTACTTCATGGATGGAAATAACTTTCTGACGTCAAAAGTATGAAGGCCAACAGATTTATATCCATTCAAATGTTCTGAGACAGTACTTTACAGGTCCTTTATTGATACTGTTAACAAAAAAGGCAATGGGATACTGGAGGATAAATAGAACATGGCACATGGGGGTTGAATTTTACATGGTATATATCTAATCTATAATGATATTCCTCCTTTTACATATTGTATAAAGTATGATACAATTTATAAACAAAAGCTTTATTCATTTCAGTACAAAACCTTATGTCCTTATTATTCTCTCTTGTCCTTCTTTTAAAAAATATTACAAACCAATGCCTCTCGTACATCCCTAGAAATAAAGATGTTATGTAGTTTTACTGTAATATTGTTAGCAGTTAGGGTGAAGTTGATCCCGGTTCAGCGCTTTGTACTACTGGGAGCTGTTGGTTATTCTGCCCTAGCTAAGATCACATTTTACAAGCCCAAATACACATGTATGCGTGGCAATGAATGGAGGCTATGTCATACATGTATCTTTGGCTGCTGGTGAGTAAGTCATCTATGCTATGCCATCATACTTGTGATTTATGGAAGGCCCTTGGTAGGTGTTCTATCATGGCTAACTAAGCATGTGTGCCATCCTTATATCATGCATAACCTATGACACCAAATACTGAAGCTCCAGTTCACAGATTGAATAGGCAATTTCCACTCCAGTGCATTTGTTCACATATGGTGTTGTAAAACTCATATTGCTCATCCAGGAAGTGCAAAGTTGTAAAGATGGGACTAAATTGTCATATCTGTATCTGCTAGTTTTATCTCCATTTATTGCCTTATGGTCCCAAAGTCCTCCAGGAGAGTGACAAATCCACACAAGGCTCCTGATTGTATTTTGCACTTAAAGCTCTGATTTTACTGACAGATGTGAAGAGGAAAAAACCATGTCTAATTACTAAGAATTTGTCTAGCTACGTTTGTGGATTCTTAAGAGTGCACAATCATTCAGTTAAGGGCTAACTGTAAGTTAGGCTTCCATTGATTTCCATCTGCCTTAGATTTTAGTTGTACACCGGACCCTCGCTAGAACACGCACCTATATAGTGCAAATTCGCATATAACGTGGTCGCAGCCATGGATCCCAAATTTAATTACTTTAATGAGAATTCATTTTAACACGGTCCCCACTATAATGCGGTCCCCGCATTAACGCGGTACCGCGCATGGATCCCAAATCCCGCATTCTAGCGAGGGTCCGATGTATTTTGTATTTTTCCATCCACTTTTGGTCAGGTGTCCTGCACACAACACACCTCTATGCCTCCGTTTCTTCATCTGTAAAATGGGGATAATACTTTACCTGCCTAACTGGCATAGGTGTTGTGAAGAGTAATTAGAAAATGTCAGTAAAATACTTTGAAAGTGAAGAGAGAGATACAAGTGTACAGTCAACATTTTGAAACGTTGGTACCTAAAGTTAGGCATCTAAATACACAGGTTTGGGCACCGAATTCAAGGGGCCTGTGTTTACAAAGCTGATGAGCCTCTCCACTTCCAAATGAGATTTGGCTCCTCAAGTTTCATATGAACCTCACCCTATATAGAGTAATGATACCACCTTCCTTGATTTCACTGCTGCTACATTTCCCAGTGGTACTGGCTGTCTTCTCCCTCCTGTTCACGCTATTTCCTAACTCCACCCACGAGGACCTGACTGGCTTGGGTGGATGGTGACTCTACTGTCAGTTAAGTACCTTTCATATCAGCATGTCTTAAAGGGACAGGGTCAATAGGTTCTTTTTATTTTACCTGGATGTTACAGTAACTATAGAAGTTTTAGAAGCTGTTTGACCTCCTAGGCTCAGAGCATGTGAAGGAGCAAACAGACCTAAGTGACTAGAAACTACATTGAAGTTGTTGCTCATGTAACTCTTCTGCCTGTTAGAGTTGGCAGCAACAAGGGCCGGGTTCAGTATCTAGGGGTTCCATTCCAATAACACAATGCAAAACCAGCAAAGTGACCTGGGACAAATATATACCACCCCCACTGGGCGCCTCCAAGAGGCAATACTTCCCCTCTCACAAGCACAGAGTCTGAGTGTAGCAAAAAGCCTTTTAATAACAGAGAAAAACAATGTGGCATTATGTTGGGGAAACACCACTGACAGGATTCATAACACAACCCATGAGCAAAAAATCCACCGCAAGCAAATTGGTCCTTTCCCTTTGGTTCTTGAGTCCAGCAACCTAAAAATCACCCAAAAGCCCAACGACCCAAAAAGTCTCTGTCCCTGGTCAGGGCAGCCCCAAAGTTCAAAAGTTTATCTGCAGAGTTTTACCTCCCAACCAGGGTAGAGATGGGGGGGGCTAAGGGGCACCTTACGTGGTCCAAAGCTGATGGCCCCACCTCTCCATGGGGCTCCGCTCTGCCAGCTGCCCCATGAGCTGCTCTAGGCATCTGACAAACTGCTCTGCTCGCCGTCCCGCAAACTGCTCCACCATATATCTTCAGGTTCCCCACTACTTAACACAACACTCAGTGATTTCAACTCTTAGTAAGTTTAGCTGTTTTGTGATTTCAGCTTGTAGTAGGGGAGCCTCAGTGCTGGTGCACCATTAGCCCAAAGTGAATTCAGCTCATCAGCCTGTAATTAGACTCCTAATAGAATCAAAATTAGCTCTGATATTCCACAGTGGAGAGAGGAGAAAGTGTAATTAGCATATAAGGCCCTCACCAGGGGCCCATGCCACCAAGTATTAATACCTGTCTCCAGTCTCTCTCTCAATTCACAGAATTTTGGAACCCATGTCCCTTGCCTAGCGAGTGCTACTTAGTGGATGGGGAGTCCCTCCGTCATAACAAAAGGCCAAGTACAGTTCCACTGTCCTTGATTCCCATAATCAGGGTAATAACAATTTATTCTTCCTGCCCCAATAACAGAGACACTGGGGATCCCACAGCAGCCAAAGTGATCATTTGGGCAGCTATGGCCTCATTCTAGGCGGGGTGGGTGTGCCTATGCAAATGAGATCGGCCCCTGAAGTTGTTTTCCACAACTTGCCACACCTCACCACCAGATGTCAGGGTGGAGCTCATCCTGACTCTGCTTACACTCATGTGGCGTGAGATTCCCCTTTGCTCATGCCCTAGTACAGCAAGGAAGAGCCAGGCCTAGATTCTCTCAGCAAAGGAGGGCTGCTTACGTAACATTTGGTTATATAACATTTCTCCAAAGCTGTACATATGGCATGTCAAAAATGTGATTCTAAGGAAAAAATTCTCCCTTGGTATCTACATTGATTCAAGTCATATGTGTTCTCCCTAAATATGTACAGCTCTTAAGACATATGTAGGGAGAGCTGAATGGTAGAGTCCAGATCTGTTGATCTGAGAGAGTTTTGCCTTGTGTATTGAGATCTCCAAAGCTGCTCTTTTGTGTATTACTCATCAGTCTGAACATGCACAACATTATTTTCTGTTTTTACTAACTTTTGATGTAAGAACCCATGGGCCGAGATACAGAATTTGCAGGATTTGAGGCAGACACTATTCCTTTGTTGCCTTCAGGGGTCCAGACGGGGTTGTGTGAAGCAAGGAGATTCTTTTCCCCAAGAATCAGGCAGGTACAGACAATACTGAAGAGGTTTATTCATGGCACTGAGAAGACTGATAAACAGCTTCAAAAGTGTGGTGTTACAGTGACCAATTATATACCATTTCTTGTCAATCCATTTGCATTTATCTTGTACTTACAGAGACAAACATTGTTTCAGAGAAAGAGAGAACACTTAACATAATAATGACAGGAGCACAACTTACGCATAGAAACTATTCTGATTACATCAATTATCTATGACTACCCTTTAGCCGAAGGGGTGGGGTGGGGGTGAATGTTCACAGATATCCAGAGAGCTGTGGAGGGTTTGTACTGTTCTTTCTTACTGAGAGGCCGAGTTACTGGGCAGACATTTGACCATGTAAGTTATCAAGTGTTTACAGCTGCCATTGTCCTTGGGCCTCTGGTATTTCTGCTTGTTAGTTACGTGGGTTTTTGCCTCAGCTGCTAACTGAATTTTTAACTCTTGCCTAACATTTGCCACCAAGAAGTTTTAAGGGGGTAAGTTCTGCAGGAAGTCCTGCCCTAAGGAACATGAGCAATAGCCGTCTGTGATTCCCTGATTGGCTGGCACTCCACATATAAACCAGGAAGCCATTTCTGGGTGCTTCTGCTTTAGATCCCACTCGCTGTGACTGGCCTTGATCCAAGATTTGCAGCTCTCAGACTAGGCTCACCTCCTGACCCTGATCCTGGGTTTACCGTATAAGACTTAAGACTATTGCTGATCAAGGCCCTGGCCTGTCCCAACCCTGATTCTCACCTCACATTCTCAATTTGGTAACAGACTCTGACTTTGTGTTTGTGACCTGGCCTGGCCCTGGATTGATCTGTTTCCCAACCCCATACTGAGCAGCTCAGTCCGTGCCCACAGGCTGCCCATGACCCAGCTCTGACCGTCACACTCTCCTACTTCCATGTTCCCGCTTCTATCTCCTTATTGTAAACCTAAAGATTACTGTTTTCCATGCTTCTCTCAAGTTTTTTGTCTGATAGTGTTTTCATTCACTTTCAGAACAGTTTTTGTTTCTAATTTTCGTCTTATTTTCCCCCCTTTTGCTCATTTGCTTCCTCCTTCTCTGACCCATCTTTCCTATGCTCCTCTTTCTTACTAGTTTTGTATGGCTAGCACATGTGGAAAGTAGAGGCAGCTCTGTGATGGTTACTCAGTGTATCCGATATCACATGCCTGGACACTGACTAACATTTTGAAGCACGGAATGTTGAGACTAATGTACTGGAAGAAACAGCAGAGAGACATTGGAAGGGTCAGTAGATCTTTATGGCTTGTGATGTTACTCTTAATATTGCAACAGTTGCTGCTTGACTTCTCTGCTTATTACAACACATGCTTACAATGGTTAGACTCCGAATTAGAAAAATACACACTTATATGGGATCATGGTC